TGGCGCAGAGCCAACCTACATCACACTAGTAGTGAGGAGTCGATTAGGTCGATTTAGAAGATTGGATACCCATTTTGTTTGGGAATTGGCCAAGAGAAGAGATTACCCACAGAGACTATCTGATAGGCAAAAAACGATGCAGCCTAGAGACGCCCCATAAGTCAATCAAGCTGGGAATTGGCATGACGTTGAAGCCCTGCAAGAGGCTCTTGCTCCAATTTACTCAAAGAGAGAATAGTATAGTAAGAGACTAACTATGCCAAAGTTAGTCAACATTGAAAGTATCAAGTATCAAGTATCAAGTACTTCTAGTACCTTACATACTTAATCAAAGACAGAATAGAAGAAAAAGAAAAGAAACCAAAGCGGAGAATTGCAGACCCGCCTTCAGCCCTGTAGACTCCCCCGGGGCAGCCCCACCTGGGCAAGGCCCATGCTTACTCAGCCCCTGGAATCAAATGGATGAGAACACGTTGACTTCCCCCACTGGAGGTTCCCCGATTTGGTCGATCTTCATTTGCTTTTGGTCTTCTTCTTTTTAATATCACCTTGTCCCTCGCTTTGGGCTGCTTCTCTTAACTCTGTGTTACACCGGGCATGTACCTATCTTAAAAACAGGAACCCATCTTTTTTTTCCTTGTTTACCCCAACTATTATTCTTCACCTCTACGGCTATCGCAATTGATCCTGCCTATTGCCGTTGAGGGTGTCGCGATCATGGAGAACGCCTTTCTCCGTACTCCAGCGGAGTCGCTGGAGCACTTCAAGGTGTCGGAGCAGACCGGTCTGTCGCAGAACGCGGTCTTGAAATCCAGACAACAGTATGGACCGAACGGTTAGTACACACTCCGCTGCAGAATGATGACATTCCCAGAACTGACATCTGCTGTTTACTTAGCCCTTGCGGAAGAACCCCCGACTCCCATGTGGGAGCTGATTTTGGAACAATTCAAGGACCAATTGGTTCTTATCCTCCTTGGCTCGGCCGCCGTGTCTTTTGTGCTAGCTCTCTTTGAAGAGAGTGACGATTGGACCGCATTCGTGGACCCCGCTGTTGTAAGTGCCTGGATATTCCACATTCCATCTGCATACCTATGTGTTCTATTTTGCTGACCAAGGAATGCTTTTTTTCACAGATCCTTACTATCCTTATCCTCAATGCCGTGGTCGGAGTGACTCAAGAAAGTAGCGCTGAAAAGGCAATTTCAGCTCTCCAGGAATATTCGGCCAACGAGGCCAAGGTCATCCGGGATGGAATGACGCGAAAGGTCAAGGCCGAAGATTTGGTTCCCGGAGATGTGATCCAAATTGCTGTCGGTGACCGTATCCCCGCCGACTGCCGACTGCTCGCCGTTCACAGCAACAGCTTCCGCGTCGACCAGGCTATTCTGACTGGCGAGAGTGAAAGTGTTGCAAAGGAGACCCGGGCTATTAAGGATGAGCAGGCCGTCAAGCAGGACCAGATCAACATGCTTTTCTCTGGTACCACTGTTGTCAACGGTCACGCTACGGCTCTGGTCGTGTTGACCGGTGGCTCGACTGCCATTGGAGATATCCACGAGAGCATCACTTCGCAGATCTCCCAACCGACCCCTTTGAAGAAGAAGCTGAACGACTTTGGTGACATGCTCGCCAAGGTTATTACCATCATCTGTGTCCTGGTTTGGGTTATCAACTACGAGAACTTCAACGACCCCGCGTTCGGTGGCTGGACCAAGGGTGCTATCTACTATCTGAAAATTGCTGTCTCTCTTGGTGTGGCGGCTATTCCGGAGGGTCTGGCAGTGGTCATTACCACCTGTCTGGCTCTGGGTACCCGCAAGATGGCTCAAAAGAACGCAGTTGTCCGGTCTCTTCCCTCCGTCGAAACCCTTGGCAGCTGCAGCGTGATTTGCTCTGACAAGACCGGAACATTGACCACTAACCAGATGAGCGTCGAGAAGATTGTTTACCTGACCAGCTCTGGCACTGGCCTCGAGGAAATCGACGTCGAAGGCACTACTTTCACTCCCGAGGGCAAGCTCACTCAGAATGGCAAGGTTGTCGAGAACTTGGCTGTTTCTTCATCGACTGTCGCACAATTGGCCGAGGTCACTGCCCTTTGCAACGCCGCTACTCTTTCCTACGATGCTAAGAGCGGAGTCATCTCCAGCATCGGTGAGCCCACCGAGGGAGCCCTGCGTACTCTGGTTGAGAAAATTGGATCTACCGACATCGCCCTGAACCAGAAGATTTATCGTCTCCCTGCATCCGAAAGATTGCATGCCGCCAGCGCTCACTACGAGTCCCGTCTTCCCCTCAAGGCCACCTATGAGTTCTCCCGTGACCGCAAGAGTATGTCTGTTCTCGTTGGTGAGGGCAAGGAACAAAAGTTGCTCGTCAAGGGTGCCCCTGAAAGCATCCTGGACCGCTGCTCGCACGTTATTCAAGGCGCCAATGGATCTCGCGTTCCTGTGACCCAGAACCACTTGAACCTTCTCTCCGACGAAGTTGTTGAGTATGGTAACCGTGGTCTCCGTGTCATGGCCATCGCAAGTGTTGACGGTATCTCTGGAAACCCCCTCCTGAATAACGCCACCACCACCGAAGACTACACCAAGCTGGAACAGAACATGACTCTCATTGGTCTTGTCGGAATGTTGGACCCCCCTCGTCCTGAGGTTGCTGGTTCTATCAAGAAGTGCCACGCCGCCGGAATCCGTGTTATTGTCATCACCGGTGATAACCGCAATACCGCCGAGTCTATCTGTCGCTCAATTGGTGTGTTCGGCGCCGACGAGGATCTTACTGGCAAGAGCTACACGGGCCGTGAATTCGACAGTCTCAGTGAAAGTGAACAGGTGAAGGCCGTGCAGACCGCTTCTCTTTTCTCGCGCACTGAGCCTAGCCACAAGTCCAAGCTTGTTGATCTCCTCCAGTCTTTGAACCACGTCGTCGCTATGACCGGTGACGGTGTCAATGACGCTCCCGCTCTCAAGAAGGCCGACATTGGTGTGGCTATGGGCACCGGAACCGATGTCGCCAAGATGGCCTCTGATATGGTCTTGGCTGATGACAACTTCGCTACCATCACCGTCGCCGTCGAGGAAGGTCGTTCTATCTACAGCAACACTCAACAGTTCATCCGCTACTTGATTTCTTCCAACATTGGAGAGGTCGTTTCTATCTTCTTGACTGCTGCCCTTGGCATGCCCGAGGCTCTGATTCCCGTTCAGCTGTTGTGGGTTAACCTTGTCACCGACGGTCTGCCCGCCACTGCTCTGTCCTTCAACCCTCCGGACCACGATGTGATGAACCGTCCTCCCCGCCGTCGCGACGAGGCCCTTGTCGGCGGCTGGTTGTTGTTCCGTTACATGGTTGTCGGTATCTACGTTGGTGCTGCCACCGTCTTTGGTTACGTCTGGTGGTTTGTCTACAACCCCGATGGACCTGGCATCTCTTTCTGGCAACTGGTAAGTTTATGATGTTTCCAGGTATTAATATTGTGTTACTCACATGGTAAATTTAGTCTCACTACCACAAGTGCGCGGCCCAGTTCCCCGAGATTGGCTGCGAAATGTTCAGCAACGACATGGGCAAGTCTGCCTCCACCGTGTCTCTTTCCATCCTCGTGGTGATTGAGATGCTCAACGCCATGAACGCGCTGTCCTCCAGCGAGTCCCTCCTGACTTTCTTCCTGGGCAACAACCCCATGCTTATCTACGCCATCACTCTATCCATGCTCCTTCACTTTGCCATCCTCTACATTCCCTTCCTGCAGAACCTGTTCTCAATTCTGCCTATGGACTGGAATGAATGGCAGGCAGTATTGGTGATTAGTGCGCCTGTGATGTAAGTGCCTGTTTCTGCTTTAACCTTGAGAGACTATCCTACTAACCCACACTCCTAGCTTGATCGACGAGGTCCTTAAGTTTGCCGAGCGTCGTCTCTACAACACGAAAGCCGTTAACCCGGTCGCCCAGAACGGCGCCGTGGGTAAGCCCAAGCGGGCATAAAGGATAGGGCCATGTTGGCGAAAGCCTAAATATGGCCGTACTTTCGCCGATATCTGCCCGAGTAGGAGCTAACCGGCATGTAATAGAGATAGATTATGCCTGGTTCTGATTGGCTGGATATTTGTCACGCAGTGAATATGAGAGTGCGTGGCATACTTATGACATGCTATCATGGATGCCCATAGATCACCCTGAATGAAAGATTTCAACCTTTGATTGTTGCACTTGTGGACAGTAGGACAATATGTACTTGGGTCTTGGTAGAAACCCCATATTTATCTGAGGACGAGTCGATCTTGCCCTGTGTGTCCCCTGACTTCCACGTCCTCGTCTAGTTTGGAGGACCGTGATCCCTTCCCAACCTGGAATGAGAACGATGAATGATGTGATCCGGCTCTAATTGGTGTTCCTGTTATAGACACGGCTCTTATCTACGGCCATCAAAGTACAAATTGTCATGTGTTAGCTTGTAGCCCGTAGCCCGTAGCCCGTAGCCTGGAACTATAATAGAATGATGCGTGATAGTTCCTAGGATGCCATCCTCCATAGTACTGTTTAGGGTATGGTAAGACTATACCAAGCTCGGAGTCGGAGTAGTATTCCACCAGACACGGGAGAGAATAACCCGTCAGACCACCGGAATGGCATCCCGCATATCCCAAAGATGAATAGCGTCGAAACAACCCATGCAACCCTGACGCCACCTTGCCAGGGTCTAAAGCGGGGGTTTCTGATTAGACCACAGGGGAAATAGATCATAGTTACCTTTGATCCTCGGTGCAACTCCGTGTTGTGAGTCGTGATTGGATATTGCTGGTCTTTCCCCAGGGATCGTCTGGGTGTTTCCCCGGACTGGGGGAAAAGTGTGGAGTTTGCGGAGAAAATCAGACCGTCACTTTTTGTTTTGTTTTTCTTTTAAATACCCCCTTTGGTCCCTTTGATCCTTTGTTTTCTTCGTCTTTGTCTTTGCTATTGTCTTTGCTATTGTCCTTTCTATATTTAAGAATGGGCGTCAAGGAATTCCTCAAAAGCCGTTCGGGCTTGCGTGTTGATAATCGGGCGACTACTTCTGCCGCTACTTTAACTCTACGACAGAGTCTGTGGCCCTTGACTCTAGTCACGACCTTGTTCTTCTTATGGGTATGTTACTGTATTTTGTTCATAGAGAATCCTCCTGTTAAGTCTTCAATTAGGGTTTTGCGTATGGTTTGCTGGACACCCTCAACTCGCATTTCCAGAAAACCCTACATATCGACCGAGGCCGCTCAGCTGGTCTTCAAGCAGCCTACTTTGGGTATGGCATTTATCCGTAACACCACATATATTATTAAAAAAAACCCCCACTCTAACAAAACCCAGCGCATACCCCCTAGCCTCCCTCGGCTACGCAAACTGGATCCTGCGCAACTACGGCTACAAGACTGTCTTCATCTTCGGTCTGTGCCTATACGGCATTGGAGCCCTGTGCATGTGGCCCGCAGGGCTAAACCAATCCTTCGGCGGCTTCTGCGGTGCCACATTCGTCATTGGATCGGGACTGGGGTCTCTTGAGACAGCAGCTAATCCCTACCTAACCGGTAAGACACTCATACATTCCACACAGAGTCACGCATAGGTATTGACCTCTCCTTGCATTTGTCCAGTCTGCGGTCCGCCCCGCTACTCTGAAATCAGAATCAACTTCGCCCAGGCCTTCAACGCCATCGGCACAGTCGTCGGCCCAGTCCTGGGCTCTTATGTCTTCTTCTCAGAGACAGAGGACGATGTATCAGCCCTACAGCGCGTGCAGTGGGTATACCTCGCCATCGGCATCTTCGTCTTCTTGCTCGCCGGTGTATTCTTCCTATCCAATATCCCCGAAGTCACGGACGAGGATATGGCCTTCCAGGTTGCGCAGACGCATGTAGATGAGCAAGATAAGCCGTTCTGGAAACAGTACAAGCTGTTCCATGCGACCTTAGCGCAGTTCACGTATACAGGAGCGCAGGGTACGTTTCCATCCCTGTTTCATCTTATACTTCCTCCGTTCTTCCAACAAGCTGACTCTTTCTTCAGTCGCTATCGCGGGCTACTTTATCAACTACGTCAAGGATACTTGGCCGGGCACGTCGAGTGCCACAGCAGCGAAGTATCTCGCCGGCGCGCAGGGCGCGTTCGCAGTCGGCCGTTTCCTCGGCTCGGGGATTATGAAGTTTGTACGGGCGCGGTGGGTCTTCCTCGTGTATTTGTCGTGCACGGTAGCTTTCCTTGCTGCGTCGGTGACGCAGACGAAGCAGGTCGGTCTTGCTATGTTGTTCATGACGCTCTTCTTTGAGTCCGTTTGCTTCCCGACAATCATGGCGCTGGGTATCCGTGGCCTCGGACGCCATTATAAGCGCGGCTCGGGGTTTATTGTTGGTGGTGTTTGTGGAGGTGCTGTCGTGCCGCCTATTCTCGGTCATGTGGCTGATGTGCGTAATAATACGGGGTTCGCGTTTATTGTTCCGACTATGGTATGTTCTGCTCTTGGATTTCTTTTTGACGCTTGTTTGTGTTGTTGAGTCGGTGGCTAATGCTGGTTGTAGTTCATGGTCGTCGCTTGGACTTACGCTGTTGCTGTGAACTTTGTTCCGTCGTATACTAACACCGTGGATAAAATCGGTGAGAGCGATGTCGGTCTTGACAGTCCGGACAATAAAGATGAGGAGGCTGTTATGGGCTCTCATGCTATTGATGAGACTGTGGGTGAGAAGCATCAAGCCGTTCATGTGGAGCGGTAGGGTTGTTATTTGCTCTGCTTTCAGTATCTCCTTTGGGGTAATGGCTAATGGTTAATGGTTAATGGGCGTTGGGATTTTGATTTTGATTTTGCTTTACTTGCTCAGGATTATTCTCTTTATAGAGTAATGGGTGATGACCACACGATACAACGATGTTTGATTACCAGCAATGACTGAATGAAATTCGAAGTAGCCCTGATTTTAAATGGTAACTAACGGTTTTTTTAACTGAATGGTAGAAATAGAAAAGCTAGATACGATATCAGAAGACAAAAGAGAGATAAATCAAAACTGAAAGAAACATGTTATACAGAAAGGTGGAATGTCCTTGATGATAATAATGATGCGGTGATATTCTCCCATACTAGGAACTAGCTAATAGTGATGGAAAGAGGGGCAACCCAGCAGGTAACCATGATGACTGGTAGAGTTGTAGGACTTGGGTGGTAAGCCCAAACTGGTGGCATTTGTTTTTAAAAACCCTAATACGCGACATTGGGGGCGAGTATGAATGGAGCATCACATATTGGGCGTCGCCTCCGAGGCGGATGCAAGCCAGTCAGCCGGGATGGTAAGGATTGTCTTATTTCTCAAGCCGGCTTTGCGAGCAACAAGGTCATTCCAATCTTCCTCATCTTTCGGGATAAAGAATTCGGGGAAAGGGTTATATACTCTGAGACACCGTCCCTCGGCCTGTGCTTCGTGGTTCCCCGATTTCCCTGGCGCCGAAAGAATCACACGATCGCAAGCTTCGTAGAGATTGAGTCCCACAGATCCAACATCGTAAGTCATGCTTGTGATTGTGACTCTCAACCAGCTTTCCGGATCATTGAACTTGTGGCTAGTTGTCCCAGCCTCTGGCTAGTTGGTGACATTGGATTTTGATGTCACCAGAGTGTGTACCGAGTCGGCTCAGACCGACGGAGACCTGGCAAAAGGGCCATCATTCACGACATTCCGAGAGTAGAGAACATATAGGCATGAGAACCAGATGCAGATGCAAAGAGAAAGTCAATTGCTGACAGGTATTACAGGAGACGAGTGCGAAATGCAGATGTGTGAAGAAGTGTAAACGATATGTTGGAGCTCGGGTAAAAAGGAAGGAAGACTAAGGGCTATGTTTGGCCTCTGAAAGTGCCACATGAAACTGAGACGCTTCGTCCGGACCATGCCAAATATCGCAACGTCGGCTTCATTACCCTGGAACGTTTCGATCTTCTGAACTTGGACTCGATGCCACTTCACTGCACCGATGAATAGTTGCTTGTGTGCCAATCGGCCCATTCGATGTAAGACCGCCATTGAGCATTGCATGATGACAGTTGAGCTAGCGTGAGCTTTCGCAGCATCGATTTCGGACGTTGCGTTACCAATGCGCGAAGGAGGAGGGTGCTAAGGCGCATTTGAAACGAATACACTTCTCATCGGTGCCGAATGTTCCGGTCAAATGACCCTATCTGCGCCGTCTCACAGCGCCAGAAGCAATGAGTTGGTGAACGCATGAACCTTTCGCTGATTAAAAGCCTTGAAACTTTGGATGCCCTTGCACGGGAGAGACCTTCAAACGGGGTGGTGATGTCGCTGTAGCCTTTCAAAGATGGATAAAGGATGCCAAGGATGTGTTGGCATCCTTGGATAATGTCGCTAACTGTGTACATGGACCGCTGTTCAAAGGTTAGAAGAGAACAGCATGGTAGGATATGAGAAAACCGACGTCAGAATTGTTATCGTTTACATGAAAGCCCTCACGTAGGCGAGAATTCCTTTGAAGGTGAATGATGGCGCGAAGGTGTAAATCCTCATAAAGATGGTAGTCGTGAAGATGGCAACCGGACCCCCAAGAAAGTAAGATTCTGGATACTTCGTGATAAAAGCCCCATCATGGGAGCTGATCTGTAGTCGAGATAATCATTATCTTGACGACTCCCAGCCAAATAGCTGGAAGTGATAGTGAGATTTCTTAAAATAAGAACGAAGCGAGAATGAGGCGAGGCCGATTATCTTCCTCCCTGGTAGATGAAGGGCTGAGAGACCGATATGTAGATATGATGGGAGGGTCCAGTTCTAAGCTCTCTAGGGAAGAAAACTTGCTTGATGGCTTCCACGTATATCTGTAAGGTGCATCCTTAGCGCACGTCATAGTACAAAGTAACACACTGGCCCATCAAATCCGATAAACAATACCTGGTGAGCTTCATATCGAAGCCGGACGCAGTGTTGATAGTAGGTCGAGAAACCTGAAATCCCCACACAGTGAAAACTGTCACTTTTTCAGTGGCTGTACGGTCAAATCGTCATTTTCCCAATGAAAAGCAATCACCAGGATGAATGTGTTCGACAAAAGCAAAAGCTTCAACTCATGTCAGCAAAGCCTCGTAATATTTATTATAGATATATGTATAGATATATGTAGAGAAGGCAAAGTGGACAGAATACCATGGATTAAGTTGAGCTGTTGACTGAGAGGGAGGAGGAGAGAGGGGATCAATCCTGGTGAGGAGCAGAGGTCCTATCTGCCTTAGGCAGAAGGGCTGCCTCAACAATATATAGTCTATGTAGTATGGCCTCTTTGGTATCGTACTGATCCATCTCTTCTTTGTTCTTCCTCCAGCATAGTCAGCCATCTCCATACGCATACTTCTACCAAGAACCGGATGCCTATATATACTACCAACCTAACATGCCAGGCTTACGATGGTGGAATTATTCTCCAAATTGATCATATTCAATCGTATTATTCCTTGTGGGCCTTGACAACAATCATACCATATCATATTAGTAGCTCTTGACACAGTGTATTGCTAATACACGCTCAAAATCATCAAATACTTTTTTTCACATCACCAAAAAGTGGAACGATTCACCAAAGAGCGATGAGAATTGAGCTCGCGTGGGCTAGCCCAGTCGTTGATTTTTGACACAGGCAACTCATCGTGCAATAGAGAAAGCTGAACCCCCAACTCGCGGAAGGCTTCGATAAATGTTCGTGTTGTATCAAACATTCTCGCATTGAAGGCTTCCTCCTCCTGTCTTATTCTCGCCGTAACCGTTTCGGACGTCGCATAATAACCAATAGGCAGAGGAGGAGCTAGTACACACGTGAAATGTGAGAGATTGGGAAGCTCCCCACTTGCAATGAGTCGGTAGACATCCCAAAGGCAAAAGTCCCGAAGAAGACGAGAATTTGCTCCAACATGAATGATGAATTTAAGGTAAGAATTCTCATACAGAGAGTAATCCTCGTGCTGGTAGTACCCTGACCTTGGGTCCCAGAAGGTTAGATGTTCGAGACTTGGTGGTAGAAGCCCCCTCATGGGAGCTGTTTTGTGATCGAGATATTCACTACCATGACGACTCCCAGCCAAATGGCTGGGAGTGACAGTGAGTTCTTTCAAAACCGAAAACGAGGTGAGGTTGATCATCTTCCCCCATGGCATATATATATCCAAGTTCAATTTCTCCAGCGAAGAGGACTGTGCCTGGAGGGCTTCCACGTACATTTGTCGGGTATATCCTTGGTGCATGTCCTCTTCATTTCCACGAGACTCGCCCTTGAAAGTAAAACTTTCCAATGCACGCGGATATTCCATAAGCCTCGCGAGACCGGATGTGCTGATTTCACAGTTCAGTAACATGAGACTCTTCAATGATGTTGACCGGGTCGGTGTGTTTTTTGGAATATTCTGTCTGTGTCCCCGAATGACACAGTGAGAGAGGGCGAGGCTTTCGAGGCCCGAATGAAAGAAGGCAGTATCAACGGGCTTGAGGATCCACCGATGCCAGAGAGATGAGTCGTGTCCGAGTGAGCCTGGAATGTCATTAGAACCACTGGGAAGTTCAATGAGGTTTGGCTGTAGCCTGATAGAAATCTCACATGAACGAAGGTTTGACAGATTATCGGGTTTACGAAACAGTCTCAGATTGACCGGATTTGGGAAACAGTCCGTCTTCATGACCAGAGAACTAAGATTGGGCAATTTCCCAATGGTTGACTCAAAGCTTAGGGTATTAACGAGTATGGCCATATGCCGCTCGTTGGTCATGGAATGTGGGATAGCGCGGTAGTGAAGTTGCAACATTCGAATGAAGGGAATGAGGCGCGGGTTACCCTTGATTGTTCTGGCGAGGCGATCCGCGTGGATCGGTCGCCATATTATGACTGAGCCATACAGGTTTGGAGTGGCAGCCGAGTTAAGCCTACGACACACACGAGTGACGGACGCAATACTCGCCAAGTTTGGTCGCAGCTCCGCAAGAATGGCATCGATGATCTCTTGGGGGCAGCCCAAGAGGCCGGTCAAAGGGGAAGATCCCACCTTCATGAAGCTTGGAGATGGGACGGTCGAGATGGGATGGTGGAGTAAATGAAGCTTGGTGATGGGAATAATGAAAGTGATATTGTCCGAATTTGAAGCAGAAAGGAAGAAAGGGAAGAAAGGGAAAACAAGTGGGAAGGTTAGAGAAGACGACGACTGCCCAGCTCCTCTGGAGGTGACTTCCAAGGTTGACCTGAGCCTCAGAGGATACCTATTTAGGTAGTTCAACAGACCTTCACTTTTAAGTCAAATATTCTAGTTGCTGCACATTGGCTACTGACATGAGATCCTTGTTTATGCTCTTTACGTCGGTTTCCTCAGATCGAGATCGAACTCTCCAATTCAATCTACGCTGAACAACCTATATCTATCAGTTCAGAAATTTCTTAGCAGTGAGAAAGAAGTGAGGTGAATTCGTTTCTCTTATCTAGGCTCTCGACCAAGGTGGATTGGGACTTGACTGTATCCACGTACTACAAATCCAAGAGCTCTATTTATTCTCTACTATAGTTAGGTTTCTAGTTATCTAGAACAATGCGTGGTGGAGGGATTTTGTTTATCTATCCAGCGGATCGTGGTTGTTTTGGATGGGATATAATGTTTCTTGCGTTGGAAAGGGTTGTCGGCTCGTGGAGACATAACTTAGTTAGGAGTTGGGGAGATCAAAATTGGTACTGGTCTATGCAATTTCATTATGCAAGTATTTTGTTGCTGATAAATCCAGCGAGATGATATGGGACAGCGTTCTATATGAGACAGGGGAATGCTAGGCAAAAGACATCAAAATCAAGCGAGGGTCGAATCATCATGAGGGTTCAAGGAAATGTAGGGGAGAGAAAGCGCTTCATGAAGCTAGGAAAACGTGAAGGAAAAGAGCGCAAGAGAGGGAGAGGGTAGGTCCAATGATGGATCCAATTATGTCGAAAAGGAGACAGTTCAAAGAAACGAAAACGAAACACGCTGTGTAAGTGGGGGTATAAAAGATCTATCGTCTAACCAAACATAGGAATAAGGGATCGTGGGATGGACAAAGGAACACCCGAATCTAATGCACATATGAGAAATTGCAAGGAAGCTGTCGGGTTAATATCGGTATTATTCAGCGATGCCGATTTTGTCTGCGGCATCGGACGGCGAGCGGAAAGAGGAGGAGCGAGGAGGCCGAAGGGGACTGGTTTCATGGTTTGGAATAGGAGCAAAGGGCGTTCTGCCGCTTGAGGGAGATCCGGTCTCATCTGCTGGGTGCTCGTCGGGGGTAACGATATCACCTGGTGTGACAGGTTCGTCGAACTCATCGACTTCTTCAGTTTCTTCCTCAATCCCTTCGACATCTTCCTCTTCCTCAATAATTCGGCTCTTGCGTGCAGCAGGCCGCCCTGCGGTGACGTCGGGACCGCTGGTATTCACTGGCTGACCGGGAACGGGAGAGTTGCCTATCCCGCCAGACACCATCAAGTTAGTGGTATGGATCATAGGACCCTTGAAGAGAGATCTCTTTCGCCTTGCAAACACCAGGCTTGAAGAGGGCGAGTAGAGTAATGGCGTTGGTACCGCCTCATTAAACGACGACGACATCTGACCTGGGTGGTCGCCAATCTCTCGAGGTGCTCCGCCTGGCCCTCTTACCAACCGAATATTGCTCGGAAAGCGGGATGAGGCACCTGGGGTGGTAGGCAGGACTTTGACAGATGAGTGAGGCGATTTGGAGGCTCTGGCAGTGGGCGTCGAGATAGTATCTATACTGTTGGAGGAAATCGAAGAGGCCCGGGAGTGAGCACGAGCGTGATGGATGCTGCGAATCGATGACACCGAGGAGGATGTAGATTTGCGTCCTCGTAGTCCGGCCGATGAACGCCGATAGGATCCGCGTGGTGTGATAGGTGAGGGCGAGAGAGAGTTTCGATGATTACTATGACTGGTGTTCAATGGCCGCGGCTGGCGAGGGTAAGAGTGGCGGTTTTGGCGGTATGAGGCACTGCTAGGAGCGAGGCTGCTAGCATTGGAGATTCGTTTGACCTGGGTGGGTGTCACAACATCCTCCCCTGTGACCTCGCTTGCTGGGGACGACAAGGCGGCGGGCTTCTTTCCGGTATCTTGGCTCTTCGCTGGGCTCAACTTATCGGAAAGAAACTTGCGCGAGCTCGTCGATTTGGCATGGGGAGACCGCGCTCTCTTCGCCGACTCTACAAACCAATGCTTGAGAGATGCTAGTTGGCTGAGTATCGGATACTGGTGACGACGACTAGTGCGACGCCGGAAGATGCCGTGATGCTGTGTCAACTCTGGCTGTGATGCGCTGACATGCAGCATGCTGGGCCGTGATCGCCGCCTGTCTTTTGGCGGGGGAACTGGGCGTCGTGTCGAGTTGTGGGACCGTATAGAATCTTTGTCGAGCGGCAATGGTGGCGTGGTGACCTCAATTGGGAATACAGGAAGCGGTTCAGGAAGCGCAGGAAGATCTGGCACTGCCAACTGAGATGGTAAGCTTCTTCTATCCCGTCTCCCACGATCTCGCAACCCTGAGCCTTCTTCCTCCACCTCCATTAAAGCCGATGATCGCTTCTCTAGACGACTGCTCGCAGCGCTCAGACGACGAAGGTTTTTTGCTTCGACCTCCCGCTCGCGACGCTTGCGCTCTCTCTTTGTTTCCTTTCGTTGCTCTTTTTCAATCAGCAGGGCCCACCAGCCAGCCAGCGGGTCGCACCGCTGAGCAAGGACATTTTCAATGACCTCGTCAATATTGACCCCAGCGCTTTTCATCCGCTGCAAGGTAGTCTTCTCCAGTGGCGTAGTAAATGGCGATGGTCTTGGGATTTTCAAGATTGCAAGCTGCTCAGGGGCATGTTCCGCAAGGAACGGATGAGCCAGTATCTCGTCCAGACTGGGTCGAATCAAAGGCCGTTTAGACAACAGGAGATTGACCAAAGCCTTGGCATCGTCCGTGAACTTTTCGTTGAAGGTCGGCTCGTCTGACAATATCCGCTTTTTGGTGATTTGGTCGTCATCATCGTCATATGGCAGCTCGCCTGCCAGAAGCGCATATAGAATGATTCCCAAGCTCCATACATCCACTTTTTCGCCCGCGTATTTCTCTCCTTTGAGCATCTCAGGTGCACTATAGCATATCGTCCCACAGAATGTCTGAAGATAGCTAGCCTTTCCTTCATATTCACGTGTAAATCCAAAATCGCATAGCTTGACGTTTTCTTGTTTATCCAGCAATATGTTTTCCAGTTTCAAGTCGCGATGCACACATGATTTACTGTGGACGTAGGCGACCGCTCCCACCAATTGTGTAAATATCCGCTTCACTTTCTCTACCGGTAGTGGGCCGTGTCGAAGGAGGTAGTTGTAGAGCTCATCGCCTAGAACAAAGTTTTGTCAGTGTGTTTCCCCAGGCGTCTTCTGACATGCTTGTAACGTACCAGGACAATACTCCAGCACAAGCCAAACGAGGCTCTCAGTTACCACAACTTCGTATAGCCGCGCGATATGAGGATGGAGGAATTGGCGATGGTGATGGATCTCGCGCACGAGATTGGTGTCCTCCTTGCTGGACGATTTGAGTACCACCTGCGGACTTGATCAGCATTGCCTCCACAACTTTGTTCTTCGCATGACATGACCTACCTTGGAGCCATTGGTGAGTTTGTGCGAGGCGAGATAGACCTTGCCAAAGGAACCTTTCCCAATCAACCTCCCCAATGTATAATTCCCTACAGTCCGAAGATCCTTGGAGGAGAACTCCCTGCGGAGAAGTACCATGTTAGCGCAACTGGCCATCTAGACCGGAACCAAAGAGATCGCTTACTCAAGGAGTTCATTGTAGGAGTTGGCAAGCTGTCGGGAATTCTTAGTTAGCCATATTTCCGCGGACTCCGCGCAAAGCTCGAACAAAGGAACCGGCGGAGCTCCCAATGTCGCATCCCTGATGACGCACCTTCTCCTTCTGTTTCTGGCTTTGAACCCCCGCTCTTGTTCGGGGCGGCATATGTTATGATTGCCCAAGTTTCGTCGAGAGAGTCTCTGCGCGTCAAGGGGTTGACTGGGAATGGTTGGTGTGCCGGGGGTGCCATTCAACGGGACACGAGATGCGCGGATAAACAGTTCGGAGCGGAGTGAGAGGTCGAGAAGTCTCAGAAAGGGGTAGCTGGGGGCTCGGAAAGATGGCCGGAGAAATAGAGTAACACCGCAAATGATGAAAGGAGAAGGGAAATTGCATACAAAGGCCTTGGGAAGATTCCAAGACGTCAACGGGAACGTGGACCGTGTGGAGAACCCGGGACTTGGACGGCTCTCCTTTTTTTTTTTTAACGTCTTCTATTATTATCTTTGTGTACAATATACAACATACATTATATATTTCAGCCAAATTAACTATTCCGGACTCCGTTACTATCTAGGAATCTCCTGACACTGTTCATAATGCGATATTGTTAGCAAACCCGTGTACCTAGGTAGGTATGTCACTTAATTGGTTAGAATGCAAGACTTCGACTGCAGCCTCGAAACAACAAACTGATCATGATCGCCGCATGTTGGAGGTAGGAGAATATGTGTTGTTACTACCTTACTGCCTAAGATTCAACCCTTACTTGTGGACAGTACATGTACAACGTACGATGTACACCGACGCCCAATTAATTTAGTGGACTGCACCTATTGGCTGATGCATGCTGACATGAGCCAATTGGTGGAATGGCTGAACAACAATCGTCATATTACATGCACGGGTATTTTATACTTCATGATTGCCACCAAGGCAGCGATTCAAGATGTCGGACTGTGCGTTCACTAGAACCCATCGTGGGATCGACGGGGCTGAGTCCCGCCTCACCTTGGAAAGCCAGGGACACCATGCCAAAGTATGAGTGAAGAAGATCTACATGTTTGGTCAGCAACAAAGTATCGATATCAGCATGCTATCGCCTTACCAGGAGGATCCCCGGGCCCCTTCCCAAACCCACCGACAAGATGTTGAGTCTTTTCCAGCAAGTATCGACGATTGCGAACTTCATCGACCACGGAATACTGGTCCAGCATCTGACATCCGCATTAGTAAACAATCACTACTGGCTAGGGGGTCAGGTTACCTACCACCAGTGTCGCTCCGTTCCAGAATGAATAGCATGTGTCTGCATATTTGTTGCATCGGCCATTGAATCCGGCGCATGGTATTGTGTTGGCCCCGAGGGGTTGAACATTGGGTAACTTGCGGACTCTATCATCGAGAGATCCCGTCTTTGTCACCTCAAGCTCTTCATCGTCTTCGTCTTCCTCAGGTTCCTCCAGCTGGGCTGTTTGTCTTGAAGCTAGCCATGTAATTAAAGCCTCGAATTGATTAGAGCCTGCCGATAGTAGGGGTAGTGATTTTACATCATTAGACGTCCGGCGTATGAAGTCTAGAGACGAAACGGCGCAATACGTATGTCCACCTATCAGTCGTTAGAAGATTCAGGTGGCGGAAATGGAGACACGTACTATGCGATTCACAGAAAGGAGACTCAGCCATCCCGCCGTCGTACGTCTGTGTCGTCAGACTGTGTTAGTGTCCTAATCGCAGACAGAATCTCAGGATATCCACATACCTGACACGCCTCGATAAAAGAAACAAAACCCAGGACATCAATATCCGGTACACCATCAAGCCCCGTCTCACTCCGCCCGCGCAGGACATACCGTATGCCGGCAGCACAACAGCAGTATCGTAAATCACGAGGTCCCCCTACATTCCCCTCAGGACCGACAAGCTCGCCGAAGCTTCCGTCGGCGCGTTGGACTTTAGGAAGCCACTCAAGACACTCCCGTCGCTTGACACGCGACAGGTCATCCCCGAGGATGAGCAAGTTGACTAGCGCAAAGAATGTCGCAGGGACATTAGCTGGATCCCAAGCTTCATTATCCTTATTTCGCTTTTCTGGCCCAAAGTCCGTGCCTGGGAAGCCACGGAATCCGCCCGAGGGCACCTGGCAGTGGTAGAGCCAGTCGATGTACCCTTGTCTTTCCTCCGGTGTGGTTTTGCTCTGGAGAACCCCAAGCACGTCCAATCCTGACAGGGTCAGGTAGGCGAGAAGCATGCGATTGGAGTCATTGGAAGTGTAGGCGGACGGGAGGAAGGTCTTCAGGCATCGGAGGTAGTATTTAACATGGCGCTCTGTGTTGAATGTTGGGTTTGGGTCGGTCATTGTAAAGGATGGTCGGGGGTTGGACCACTATGTGGTATGATAGGAACTAAGCTATATTCCAGTACTAATTCACGCAATTTAATCAGCATGCATCAAGTCGTAAATCAGATCGAATCGTCTCAGTTGTTGTGTTGGTGGGGGATATCTCAACCGGAGCTGCTTTTTCCCCACATGTGCTGCGGCCAAAGAACACTCGGACCAACTCTCCAAGCTATTTCCATCTGTGACTTTTGGAACTTCCTCTTGTCCACAACTTGTGCCATTGTGACTCGCCCATCATGGTTTTACTTTCATCCAAAACTCTTATCCAGGCACATGCCGTGTTTCTGGTTGTGATCGCCGGCTACCTGGTCAAGAGCCCGGAGGTGATCACCGACTGTGATCTGGTGTTTATGATGGGAGAAGCCTTGAAGATTGTACGCCCACACCAACATCCCTGATTCACAAGTCCATTTCTACCATATGGCAATGAATCTACCTAAATTAATTGACTGCTAACACCCTTGATACAGGATTTTCCATCCCTGTCAAGCCCGCAACAATCCCCCTTCACCTTCTGTGCCATACTCATCTTTATCGAGTCACTTGTCGACCTCGTCCTGCTTTCTAATATTCCCTTCCACGAAGCTCTCGATGAAGCTCTCCCCTATATCCGGCCCCTCCGAAATGGTAACCTCCCCGCCGAGGATCTGCAGGTTCTACAGCGTTTGCCCGAATATATCACCAAGTCCTTGACGATTTACTGGAGCGTCTGGACCGCAGTTGCTGCGTGCCGCTCTGTTGTGTATGCTGGAATTGCGTTCTTTATCTACCAGAGCAGAGGTGACCACCTGGCCTCGTCTTATACAAGCGCTGCGGCTATTGGAGGCTTGGATCGCCTGAAGAACCGGGTGGTTTTCAGCTTTGCTTTCTTCGAAATGATGTTTTGGTTCTGGGTAAGTGGAGATTGTCTTAATCGGACAGATTTGATCCGTTGGCTGTTTCTCTTGCTAATGTGCTACTCTACAGACTTTCGCCACCCTCCGTGAGGAGCGCCAGGAACGCCTGACCAAGCTGCTGGAGGATACCCGTGAAATCTGAGCACTTCCACTGGTTCCCCAGTATTTCTTTCTATGAGTGTATTATTACTACGAAATATCCCTCCGCCATTGAAAAGTTAGACACCGTGTACCCGATCAATTAAAACTATATTGTGGATAAAATAAGATACAGGTGCATCCTCAGGCAGTTCTCGTGTTTCCATTCATTCCATCGTCATGACGACATTTCAGCGCTGCTAAACATACTATCGCATCTCCCCCGAAATCACCCAGCACGCTTCATTTTAGATCAGAATGGCGAATGCCGCCGCAGCACCAGCAGCAGCCACGAGCGAAGAATCCTTGTGGGTAAGCGCAGCGACACCTGTGCTAGTTGCTGCAGCAGAGACGGACGAGGCACCGTTCGAGGCGATGGTAGAAGCGTCGGTGGTAGAAGCGTTGGTGCCCGTCACAGTAGTCGAAGCCGAGGTCTTAGTCGCACCGGAGGTCTCAGTGCTAGACTTGGTTCCAGTCTCGGTCGAGCTGGTGCTGGTGCCAGAGCTGGAACTCGACTTGCTGCTCGAGCAGACAACCTCGGTGGGCAGATCGGTCACACCACCCCGGGCACAGATTGACTTGGCGACCTTGATGGTTGCTGTGGTGAAGAATAACAGATCAGCCCATTGTACGTGTTCCGCTATCCATTGTGCATATTCATTTGCAATAATCCCGTATTTGCGTGTTCAAATTAGGGACTGAGGGGAAGGAGGAGAACATACTTTCCTGGTCCGCCTTGGAGCATTTATCAGCGATGCAGCAGGCGACACCGTCCAGGAAGGACTTTGACTCGCAGATGCACTTGAAATCAATGCCGCAGTTCTGGGGGATTGAACCTGTAGCACAGGTTTTCTATGCAATGGGTTGTTTAGCAGGCGGCACATTTGGGGCAGGTATATGTTGACTGTAAACACATACCGAGCAGTCTGGCAGATCGCCTAGGCCTTGAGCAGCGGCAGTGCTCAGCAGAGCTGCCAGGGCGAAAGTGATGGTGAACTTCATCTTTGCAGATATGAGGCTGTTGGATGAAGTGGATTATTGGTAGGGGAGGAAATGTGAGAGGTTTTGTTCTCCAGGTCGCCAGGTCGTGGTAATACCCCAATAGATAGGTCAAAAATACACCAATACGCAGATCAACCGTGGGTACCTTTTTCCCCGCAAAATTTCCTTTTACATGTGGTTTGGGGTTCTCCACAAAATTCGGTATAGAGGTATTTTTGAATGATTGGATATTAAATATCAGAACTCCTGGGTATTTTACATAGGGGGTATTTAATCACACCCCACGTCTACTATCTCCCCCTCTTTCCATCTCACGTAGCCAAGATACGTACCTTCAGGGCTACCAGTGCAGATGAACATTATTGGAATTCAAAGATGCCCTCCACTGGCATGGCATTGAGTGAGTCTTCTCGGAAAATAACTTGGCTCACCACAAAGACAAAAATAGGCAGAAGGAACTTCATAGTCCGGAAGATTTGTTTCCAAATTTACTACTATATAATGCAGAATACTATGCTAGTAAGTGGATTTTCCTAGTAATAAGTTTTATTTTATTAGCATTTCAAAGCTATCATTGTCATTACGTAGGTATATCTGTACAAATTTTATAACTAGATGGAGGGTTTGAGTTAGGCATCAATTAGGGCGTTTCTTCCAGTTATCTTAGGCTGATTTATGCAAACTCAAGACTCTGCCATCTCATCACATTGCTGAGGTCCGGGGCCGCCAGCTGAAACATCTTAGACTTGCGTTGAAATCAATATCGTCGGTGGTCTCCAGGACATGCAGCCAATATTGAAACTGGCCGCAGCGTCCCTCAGCCGACCCCTTCACATCATCCACTAGTATGACTCGCCGCCTGCGCCGTTGTGCGGCTGGCCAACTATGGGTGGATAGCCGTAGGCAGAGGCGTCTTGCTCAGACGGGTCAAGGTTGAGGTTCGACATAGGGTTTGTGCCTTCAGCATTGGGGAAGCCCGTTGGACGAGCCAGTCCAGGACCACCTCCGGCTGGGCCACCAACAGGTCCTCCAGCTCCATAGCCAGCGCTTGGGGGTCTCTGATTGTCGCCGCGGGCAGACTGAGTTTCACGGTACTTGGATAGGTAGATCTTGAGTGCTTCAGCGTAATTCTCGAAGCCAAGCGAGGTCATGGCGAATAGGATGTCTTCGCCGTTGACTGTTTTGCGCTTCTCCTGCTGGCATTTCTCCGAGGCTTCACTCGTGATAAATGAGATGTACTCGCTCACACATTCCTGCATGCATTCCTTGGCTTCTTTTGCGATCTTCGCGTTATCAGGAAGAGCAAGCTTCATGATACGAGCCACATTGGCAATCGGAAGCCATCGATCCTGCTCCTTCACCTCAAACTCGCCTTGGTGTCCCTGTGCGTCGTGGTGATCCTTGTCTATGTGGTCTTGCTCTTCTCCTGATTGCGCCTCCGGGTCAAGATCGTGTTCCTTCGAAGGAGAGACCGACGACATGATTAAAACTGGGCTGGATAGGTGTAGTGGATCTTTGGTTTTGCGTAAATGCTTTGTGCTTCGCGTGCGCGTTGCACAGTAGTCTTGGGTGGGGAAAGCGTCGGCCCGGTGGTCGGGATTTGGCGATGATGTGGGGTATAGTGTTTCAAGGACGATGATTCGACTTCAATATGGAATGCGATCACGTCGTAACTGCTGCTGTGGAAATAATGCGCCTCACAACTTGGAGTCTAGCTCTGGAGACCATTGATGATGTGACGCTGATCATCACATGACATATCACATGACACATGAGAGTCACGTGTTGACAGGAAAGCTCAGTCAAGTTCCTTATCTTCTTCTGTATCTTCTGTGTTAATGCATGTTGGTGAAAAGCGAAAAGCAAGGTCCTCCTTTAAACGCGGGACTACGGTATTGGGACCTGGACCAGGGGCCGTTGCTGTAGGTCCAATCGACATGTTTCCATTTGAATGGTTTCAATGTTGAGACCAGCATGTATTCAATGTTGGTATTTCACAAAATTACCTGGAGGTCTGGGCGTATTGCTGTGGATACGGGCTGTGGCATTTATTTCCCAACTATATTCCAAGTGCAGACCTCTCCCATCGCCTTGTTTCTTACAATAATCCACTTCCACATTTTCTCTTTTCTATTCTATGACGATCATTCGGGTTGTACGACTTACACTCTATACCAATCGCAAGGTTCAAATGGGAAATCTGCAAGCCCCCGGGTCAGCACTAGTGGTTTTGTTCCCTCCACAGTGGGCCAGTCCCTGATCTCAACACCAAACTTGGGGGTTTGGGGCCTGTGTACTACGAAAGCCAAACCAATTCTTTCGAGCTGTTTCGTTCTTGACAGAGATCCACCTGCATCCCGGCCGAATATTGGATCAACGCTCAAGCCCGAATGTGATGCCTCGGTCCCAGCTTGGAAGCGCCGATCCAGACTAACCTGGGCAACTCGTCCGTGCCTACGTAGGCGAGCTCAGCTTTCCCCGCGTTCAACTCGTACCGTCCTGTATGCTATACATATGTAAATTATAAAGGATCTGTGGTTGGTTTAAACGCAGTCTTAAATGGAGCTTGAATGTAGTATATTGTATAATAGACAAGGATTTGAAATTTGCCTCAAATCACATTCAAAACAATGACGCTGCAGGCGGGTTACGCCCACACTCGGGCCTTAATGTACATATCGACCGAGCTGCTTATCTTTTCTTAAGGTTAGTCCTTATATTTAGTCCTATAATATAGTCCTAAATGTTAAGCTCTTCATTTTTATTCATGTCAACTATTTATCCCTATTGGCCCCGAGAAGCTTTTCTACATAGCTTCCTTCTTTGGAGGGTCGAGAGTTAGTTTGAGCTCGCATAATCCGTACCCCTCCTGACTTTGTTTTATTTTCTATTAAACCGCTGCATTACCTCCAGGGCTACAAGCGCTGCCTCGTTAGCTTCCTGCAATCATGGGTCTTGGAGTACTGGAAGATACGAAGCTCGCGCATGTCCCAGGTAAGATTCCCCTAGCCTTGCCCGCCCAGGCGCAATCGAAACCAGCGTGGCTCATCAAGACCTCAAACTCCAGGCACCTCCGATATCTACGAACAAAACACCGATGCGAGCGACCAGACCCCAGGCGCCTCAGGCCTCAAATGCGACTGGTCGAGCAACCAGCCGATTATCCTCGTCCCGCAACCGAGCGATGACCCAAACGACCCATTAGTATGTTCCAGAGAGCACCGTACCCCGAGACTTCGTTCCACAGGCACACAAGCGCTGACCCAAACGGTCCCATTAGAACTGGCCATTATGGCGCCGCGATATGATCCTTGCCATCCTCTCCTTCGTAACGATCCTCTGCACAACCCTAAGCTCCATCCTAGCCGCAAATACGGTCACCATCGCAGATTACGAGGAAATCACGTTCACAGCAGCCGCGCTGTTGACTGGATATCACCTGTGTGGTGTCGGCGTGGCGGGCATTCTCATTGTGCCAACGGCTCGAGTCTGGGGTAAACGTCATCTCTTCTTGATCGGGCATGTCTTGATGATTATCAGCTGTATTTGGGCTGGGGTTAGTGGCAAGAACAATAACAGTCTCATATGGGCACGGATATTCCAGGGTGTTGCATTGGCGCCGTTTGAGGCGTTGGTCAATGCCTGTGTTGGAGATCTTTATTTCGTTCATGTGAGTTGGGCCTTATTTTCCCTGTAGATTTGAAATATGAGGAGACTGATGGAGATAATATAGGAACGAGGAAAGCGAATGGCTGTATCCAATGTTGCACTGTTTGGTGCGGCCTTCCTGACTCCCGTTGTGGTGGGCAAGATCACCAAGTCCATGGGTTGGCAGTGGTCTTTCTATTTTGTGGCAATTTTCCTCGGTGCTTCATTGCCACTGATGTTCTTTTTCGTGCCTGAAACTGCTTTCCGGCGCTCTGATTATTTGAACACCGACTTCAAGCGAAGCGGCGGGCACGGCGAGTCCATGGAGTCTCATGTCTCGCTCAGTGGGGCTTCCAATGACGATACTAAGGAGCTTAAACCAGTCTCCAACAGCATGAACGGAAGTTCGAAGACTGAAGCCGCGATAACAGTTCCCGAGAAAGATTCCTTCGCTCAATCGCTCAGGCTTTTCAATGGACGAAAAACAGATGAGAGCTTCTTCAAGTTGCTCTTTCGTCCATTTCCATTGTTCTTCCATCCGGGCATCTTCTGGGTAAGCAACCCACTTCGCATTTAGTTTCACACACTGATTCAATTACAGGCTTGTCTGATCCAGGGTGTCGTCATCGGATGGGCGGTATTTGTCGGTGTGGTTCTAGCAATTGTATTTCTCGGACCTCCAATGTGGTTCGAGGAAGACAAGACCGGATATCTTTACACCGGCGCCTTCATCGGTTCAGTTGTGGGCCTCATTTTGTCTGGTCTGCTTTCCGATTCCATTAACAAGTTGATGATTCGGCTCAACCACGGCAAATACGAGCCTGAGTTCCGGATCCTTTTGGTGATCCCCCAGCTTATTTTCTGCGGCATCGGAATCTATGGATTCGGATGGACTGCAAATGATGTGATGCACTATGGCTGGCTGCTACCAGACGTATTCTTTGCATTCTTGATCGTCGGCATGGTGATGGGGGCCGTTGCCGCTTCACTCTATATCGTCGATGCCCATCGTATGTAGACTACCTGGCCTTATGTGGAACTGATTGCTGACAATACTAGGCGAGATGGCCATTGAGGCATTTACCTGCATGTTGGTTTTCAAAAATATGTTCAGTTTTGTCCTGACCTTTTTCGCCTATAAATGGTTTGCCCACGGGGGAATCAAGCATACCATGATTGTCATCGGTAGCATCCAAGTAGGCATCTGCTTGTTGAGTATTCCCATGTGTAAGTTTTGCTGTGTGTGTGGCATTGTTCACCTGGCTAACGCTTTCCCCGGTATAGATGTCTTTGGGAAATGGAACAGGTCTTTCTTTGCGCGTCATGACATCCTTGACATGCTTCATCTCCGGTAAGATGCTGATACCGTTGGAATTCTTGAGCAGTTCAAGGGCTGGATATTTATGATCTTACATGGCATGAGGATAGAGCAAGCATTTGCTATGAGACTTTACATCTTTTTACACAATTCGATACCAAAATCAGCTGAATCACAACATTTACATATTCGCCTGGGCTCGGTAGATGACGATCAGTTAGCTGATGAAAATGAGCACTTTTACAATAACAGTGATTATTGAAACTACTATAAGATTGCTCTTTACTTAGTATGTGGTATGGTGGAATATATATTCATTGAATGTTTTTCGCATTCAACGAGAGATATCAAGTTGGTTGAGCGCTTTCGCGAAAAGGGATGCAGCTAGGTGCCCAAGCCCTAGGGTGTAGGGCCGAATGTAGCACGCCTGGAGAATCCAAAACTCCTGTAAGACCTTCTTGGCTTATCTGAAGCGGTCGAGATCCTAGGGCTGGGATTCTCGACGTCTGACTTTTCTGCTTGACCGAAAATGACACGCATGAATTCTTGCATGTCCTGGATCAAATCAAGGAAGCTGAATTCTAGCACGGGAATGAAGAAGCCCAGTATGGTGATTGGAATTGCGCAAACGAAGAACATCCAGATCTTCGGATGGGTCTCCCACTGTAACTTTTGCGTTGTCTCGTTGGTTTGGAGAGTGAAGAAATTCATTCCGAAGAATCCCTGCAAAAGATTGTCAGTTTTGTTCAAAAGTGCAGGTTGGATTCGAAAGCTCACCGAGATAAAAGTACTCGGCAAAAATAGCAATGTTAGAGCAGACACAGTGTCGTACAATTGTTTTCCTTCATTCCGAGTTTGCTTCAGAATACCTTTGGAGATATTGCTGTCCGCGACGGCAACAAAGTTGGAGGCCTGACATATTTAGTTGACATCCCAATACACTCTTTTGTAGATAGTACTCACACACTTGATCTCGTTATCCATCCGACTCACAAATGCCTTGGCCCGAAAATTCAAATTGGAGATCATGTTTTCACGAAGCAGAAGCGCTTTCGATAGTCGCTTTGTTGCTGCGGAGGAACGAGTCTTCGACTGGATCCATAGATCATGGTCTCGTACAATTGCCTTAAGGTTGCCAGAGGCCGCATTCATTGTCTCGGAGATATGAATCACATGGCGTGATAATTCGTGAAGCCGGCTGTATCGTTCGACGAGGTTCTCGAATGTCTTGTCGTTGTCAGAAGAGTCGGTTTCTTGGGGTAGCTCCTTGCCACGCGTCTATAAATTGTTAGATATATACTGTATTTTGTAACGATGGTAAGGCAAATACCTGCTCTATAACCCGCACTGGCTTCCGGAAACTCCACAAATCTTCCTCGCACTGGTCCACCACGATACTAAGTGCAAACTCTAGCATCAGGAATGGCTCTTCCTTCCAATTCCTGAGGTCTGTGTTATGCAGTAGGCGTCTTAGCCGAAGGACAATATCGTCGTCAAGATCGAAACATAGAAGAATATTGGTTTCGTCAGCAGATTCCTCCGGTTTGGCTTGGCCGTTATCTGTCTCTGAATTAAGAGCCGAAGACCGCCACAAGGTACAAAAGGCCATATAATGCCAATCACCCTCATAGTTTGGGGTAAGGGTTGGGACTAGATCTTCGTCGTGCTCGCTTTTTGGCGTGGGTGGCCTTGCAGGGTCTTTCTCCCTCACTTTCTTGGAAAGAAAACGCGAGAATGTTCCTTCATGATACTTCTGATTAATGAATGTCCGGAAATTATGTTGTGGTCTCATACCATAGCTTGTTTCTTCATCAGTTTGTGACAGATTTTCAGTGCTGCCAAACATTCCATTTGCATTCCAGCCTAGTCTTCGAAAGAAGAATTCTGGAAGAAAGAATTTCTTTAATAATTGTCTGCACAATTCTTCACTTCCCTCAGCTTTTAAGATTCCTTCTTCCACTTTAGGCATGATGCTGATATTAACATTAGCAAGTTTCGAATATTTTGGCGAGTGATTTCGTTCACATGACATGAATCCCCGGCTTTCTATAGAACTAGATTAAATGTATCAGCATGCTGTGGGGACAAAAGGCTTTTATTCAGTTGACTAACATCCTCTGCCAGCAATTCAGTCTGGTCCAAATCCTGGAGCTCCGGCAGATTCTCATCTCCCGGCATCGATGGTTGAGGAGCCGGTGATGCGGTACCTGAAGGCAACGTCCACCGCCAGTAGTTGATGTTTACTGGAGCATTCGCTGCCATTATCGAGGGACTGCACAAGGGATTGTTGCTGAAATCTGTGCAAGGAAATAGGAGATGAGAGGAAAACAAGTTCCCCCAGGCGCAACCAGATCAGCCTCGCATTTTGTGCTCAGGGGGAGCGCGGCACCAGGTGGTCTTTGCCTTAATGGCAACACGAGGTACATCTTGCATGAGGCAATCTTCGACCTGGTTGGCCGTGGGACTGAGCGGCACTTTTTAGTGCTTGTTTTGCTTTTTAGCCCCCAGGAGTAAAGCGCGTGGCTGGGGCTGAGAATGAGAATCGAGTTTTTCTCCAATTTTCTATAAATAAAGCATTATATGAGTTTTTTCAAGTCAATGGAACATTTTTACTGAGATTATACATGTATTGGACACTTTCCATCCACCTAGGTTTAAAAAATCGTACACAAAGTAGAGTCAATGTGATTGTTTACTCAGGCCCGTGGCAGCCACTTATGGGTTGCTGCAGCGCTTTCATTAGCGAGACTAGTTTCTTTTAGCGTGTTTTGCGAAGGCCTTACCTCTCTGTCAACATATTTCCCCCTCATGTCGGGATGTGCTTATATTTGTCGGGTGGAACACTTCATCTTGCTCCATACAGTACGTCCCGTAACTGGTGTCACCACCTGCACTCTTCGACTATTTCTCGAATCCTAATTGCCAAGACACACTAGTACATATTGGAATCTTTCCGGAGTACGTACTATCATTATTATAGGTCGCGACCGTAAATCAATCCCGTGATGTCGCTTCGCAAATTGAGCCACTCTTATGTGTAGATTTTATATCAGACTGGAGCAAGAGACCAAGGGTGTAACGGGCTAGGCCCGTTCCACGCGCTACGTTGATACGTAGCTATCAGTCCTTACCAGTCCTTTTCAATCTGAGCTCTGTTTGACTCAGCGCCCGCACCTTTGTTCGAGCCATCACTCACTAGTATCTTACTTCTTCAACGAATCAACTCAGTCATCAGCCATACGCTGCATTATTCGCGTAGAGATAGCGATTTCCTATCGGCCCCACACATAGGGACTGTGTTAATAAAAAGATACTATCATTGGTAAGACTAAGTAATCTAGTGGAGCTGCTAGTCTGAGAGGGTGTGTACAACATAAATATGACTAATTACCGGACTAACCTTGGAATTAGTTAAGGCTGTCAGGGGTTATTGTTAGGTTTTGACCTAGAAGATCCATGGATCGATGCCGTCACGTATAGCCAATCATGTAGATTCCCTGGATCTAAACACGAGATCAGCGTTCGCGGATTTTGACCATGTGTGGTTTAGCGCATAACTTTTCTGAAGCCGCGCCGTTGACGACCACGTAATGATCCATCTAGTCATGATATAATGGAGTGACCGCGCAGCCTCTGCTGCTTCATTCTCTCCATGCGTTCTGTCCACTGCAATCGCAGAAACAGCAGTCCTACCTCTGTGTTCTCCCAATTACCCCTCTTTCAATGTCAACAACTACATCACTGATGGAATCTGACACCCTCGCGCCGGATATTACGGCTGCCACGAATCTTGGCCAAGGGCTTTCCTACGAGCTCGTGTCAGAAGGGAAGCTTCAGACGTACCGCATCACAAGGCCCGGTCCTCAGGCCGACTCTATGTACTACATTGAGACCCACGAGACGCTCTCTAAGCACAAATTTGACCTCCTACTTCACCAAGGAGACTCTAAGGACGGAGACGTCCTCGGGGTTGTGAAAATGCACCGTCGCGGCTTCACTATCGGGCTTGGCGATCCAGCCGGAGAGATAGAGGGCAAGCAGATGATATGGGAAAGATTGGAACGGCCCGAGAAGTATAGTCACAAGATATACTATTTCGATTTTGGAGCCGGGGCGCAAAGGATGACATACACATACCGGAAATCATATCGTGCACTAGGGAGGCTGAAGAGCATGGAACTCCGCGCTGGAGGTGTTGATGAGGAGGATGGACAGCTCCTGGCAAAGTGGGTAGGAAGCAACTCTTGGAAGATGAAGGCCGGCAGCTTGTTCATCGCATATACGGCAAAGAGCGGACAAGATCACAATGCAGCTCGTGACGAAGAGACTAAGAAGTGGGAGATGATGGTTTGTTTGACCACATTTGCAATTATTGAGAGTCAGGTCAGAAGGAGTAAGGGTTAAGGGTATATGAGGACGTCACGATATAGCTGGGAGTGAGGCTGCTTTGCTTAGAGCAGAGTATGCTTGTCAATTTTATATATTTCACCTACCAGTGCTTTCCGTGAGCCCTGTTCTTTCTGTAATATTGCACTTAATACCCAAGAAGATTTCTCGAAAAGTATCAGGATGCGGTACAGATACGTGTTGGGAACCGACAGATCGTATTACTACAGTCAGGCTATCTCAGGATTATAGACAAGACGTAGCTCGGAGAGCTACAGCAGGATCGAGGAACGGCATGGGGGTAAGGTTCAGTAGGATCACATGACCCAACTCTAACCACCCAGATGCACATTGTGACAAAAAGTCCCCCGATGGACGTTAAAAAGTCTCAACAAATCCCCTGGTACCGTACGAGCACGTGGGTAGATGCCCCCAAATCTAAGCTAATTTTTTGCCTCACAAGTCACAACCCCCATTAAGGTCCATATACATGGTAAGTCAGATCTTCCCTTAAAATAAGGGACAACTTTTCACCATAACTTTACGCTGGGTGTGGAATCTCTAGTTACGCGTAGCTAACTGGTCACAGTTAAGTTAGAAGGTATCTGGGTTATACTTGCCTGATGCTCCACAGCTTCCAACGTCAACGATCTGTACTCTCAACTGTACCGTTGCCTTATAGGCCTTATACGGGCTAAGTCCTTTTGAGGAATCGAGGAACGATGCCAGGTAGTGCGCCGAATAGGTCAGTACCGAAGTAGGTGGTGACACCAGTTTCGGGACGTACTGTACAACATAAATGTCAGTTTTCGAAGAAAAAAAGACTACATTAGAACCCATCATGAAATCTTAAACCAATATAAATGATCTATATCTAACCAAGACTGAATAATAAATCGCTAGGGTCATAATTAGTTCTTTGACCGGCAAATAGTTAATCCGACTGACATCACCTGTCCCTGACCCGAACCGTATGTGACCCGAACCATCAAATGTATCTACGCGGGTCGGAATTAATGCTTACCAGTGGAACAGCATGACCGTAGTAAGAATTGACCATGACTCTCTCCAGGTTGACAAACATTTGATGCACGAAACTCTCAAGGCATACATCGACGGAAAGATCCATCCGCTGATAACGAGCCGCGTCTGGCCGCGCATTCTGGTCTGTGGCCACTATGCTCGAAGTGCTCCCAATGTACATATTTCACCCACTGAGAAACGAGAAAAACGATTTAATTGGCATCGACCAATAGCGGTTATCGTCAACGATTTGACCCTGGAGATCAGGTGTTTCCCTGGACGAGACTACGTGCAACATTACGCCCTCCTCATCGCATACCACCTTAACTTGAACTCGATCAAGGCACCTGCCTCAGTGGTAGAATATCTTCTACCTTCTTCAGAAGCTTGTATGAATATTCTCTTGCAGTCAAATCTGCGATTCATGGGCCCTGTCCACACCGTCATCCTCGGGTATGTGGATCATCTGGCCACCAATGAGGATTATATCTGGGAAACAGGGACAGACATCCCGGATCAGTTATTCGCATGGAAACGCTTTCACTTGGCTGATGGAAGTGTTGTTGCCTTCGTGGGAAGCATGATGAGCCTTTGGGGCGATATCATCGGAAATGCCGTTCGCACAATGCGAACCCAGAACAACATATCCAGTGTTCTTTACGTGGGCAAGGCAGGCTCATTGCGAACCCAAGATGTGCCAAATCAGGTGCTAGTGACTGGTGAATTGAGTCGCATGGATGGCAAACTTCTTTCCTGGGAAAGCCCTCTCAATCCGATACTATCGACAATGGAAATCGCACACCTTTGCCAGGGGATTCAGGTTACGGTGCCAAGCCCCTTGGTCGAAACTGAGGATTGGTTGGCCAACAACAAGCAAGATGCAGATTGGGTGGACTGCGAGGTCGGTTACCTGGCAGAAGCCTGCCAAGACAACAATATTCGATTCGGGTATTTGCACTTCATTTCAGATAATGTGGCACAAAAATACATATATAATCTTGCAACGGAGCGCCAGCATGCTGTTATAAGGGCGCGGAATGGCATTTGGGACAAAGTCCGGCAAGTCCTAGCCACACATCTCGGTATAGAGGACTTAGGGGGAAGTATGCAGGGGAACTTTTGTAAAATATAGACAAGCATTCAACTTCAATACTGTTCGTTTATCCTGCATTGATCTCTAAAATAGGAGCTTGCAAGCTGGGATACTAAGCTATGGGAGTACAGTATGCTGTGATCCTCCTACTTTTTACTTGTGAATTATTTGTGCCTTTGAGAAATCCTTACTTGAGATCCAGAGCTAGGTAGGTTAAGGGCGACGAAGTATGCCACATCTGGGACTTATTCCCAATGGGTAATATTGCTGGGCAAAAATTCAGTATTTCACCCTCATTTTGAACCTTCCAAGGTTGGACAGGGTTGCTTGGGCTCTTTACAAGAGAGTAAACTATGAGAATTTGGTTGAGACGATTTCCGATCTTGTCAATTTGGTGGAGTCATTTCCCTCCAGAGCCCACAAACAGGGACAACTGGGTAGAAAGGAGGTCCAGCTTATGAGCTCCGGCAGCTTTGAGCTCTTGAGGAAGGTTATGGACGACGACGAGGTTCTAAAGCATATGCTCCAAATTGAACTCCAGCAACGCACTATCCGTGTCGGAGAAGTTCAAGTGAAGGATGATTCCGTGGGCCAGATTGGTGACAATGTTGAGTTGGCGAGCCAGGCAAGTAACATCGAAACCAAAGTCGTCGGCGGATCCGGTCATGCCATTTGCATATTGGTAGCAATATTGCATCAGGAAAGACCAGCTATGACCAGGGAGTAAGAATTACGAGCAATGATATCCATATCAATTCCTTTCTCTTTTCACTCTTCTCTTTTCTATTTCCTCTTTTCTCATTTCTTCTTTCTCCTTTCTCCTTTCTCCTTTCTCCTTTCTCCTTTCTCCTTTCTCCTTTCTCCTTTCTCCTTTCTCCTTTCTCCTTTCTCCTTTCTCCTTTCTCCTTTCTCCTTTCTCCTTTCTCCTTTCTCCTTTCTCCTTTCTCCTCCATTTCCCTTTCCCATCCCCCCCCCTTGGCCCCATTTTTCCTACTCAGTCAAGCTCGTGATCGATCAGATTCCCCAAGGCCAGAGAGGGCCGCTGCATGGACTAGCGATAGGCATCAAAGATATCATGAATACTAAAGGTATCGTATAGCATGCTTTTGTGACCACCAGCACCGCTTATACGTGCCTAGATATGCCAACAGAGTTTGGATCTCCCATCTATGAAGGACATCAGTCAGGCTTTGATTCATCCGCCGTTGCAATTCTACGAGCTGCAGGGGCTCTCATCTTCGGTTCGTCAATTCTGGTATTCTTTCACTCTATAATCTAATCCCTTCCACAGGCAAGACCACCACGACAGAGTTCACCGTGACCAACTCGGGACCAAGCACCACTAATCTTCATGATCCCAATCGCACCCCAGGCGGTTCTTCGTGCGGGTCTGCGGCGGCAGTAGCCGACTACCAAATCCCGCTCAGCCTTGGATCACAGACTGGTGGGAGTGTTATTCGCCCGGCATCATTCACTGGAGTGTTCGCTATGAAGCCAATCTACAATGCCATTTTACTGGAAGGCCAAAAGACCTTCGCACCTACCTTTGACACATTGGGGTTCTTTGCTCGTAGTGTTGAAGATCTACAGCTACTTGCCGATGTTTTTGCCCTCACAGACGACGGGCCCCCAAGAGATATCCCGCTGGAAGATCTATCCGTTGCTTTGTTGAAGACTCCGATGTGGCCTCAAGCCGGACCTAGCCCTGTAGCAGCCATGGAAAAGGCTGCCGCCATTCTCCAAAACAGGGGCACACAGGTTGCAGAAGTCTCCTTCTCACCTGAGGTCAACGATCGTGTTGCTCTGGGACGAATGCAGAAAGTGATCCTCAACGGCGAAGCCCATGCGTCTTTTTTCAGGGAGTATCGGGGGGACAAGGCAAATCTCGCCGCGGAAATTCGAGGCCTCGTCGAAAACAACGGCAACTACACCAAAAAGGAGAGGATGGAAGCCTTTGATGCCCACGCTAGAATGCGTGAGACAGTGAGCAATCTAGCTGGGAACTACTCAGTCATCCTTGCGCCTAGTGCCGTGGACGAAGCGCCCCTCGGGCTTGGCGATATGGGCACTGCAACTTTCAATACTCTGTAGACGGCAAGTCTTTTCTTTTCTTTGTATTTGTTTCATCTTTCACTAACTCCACAACAGGGATTTCATATGCCCGTCGTCAACATACCTGCATTCATCGGTGCTAATGGTATGCCTGTCGGCATATCTCTCGTGGCCCCCAGGTTCAGTGATCAGCATCTCTTGAGGGTCAGCAAGATTCTGGGTGACGCTTTGATAGCCGAAGGTGGTTGGAAAGTGTAGATCTAGCATCGTTTCTAGGGGCGAGGTAGGAGTTAGGCGCCGGAGGTGGAATTTATCAAATGAAGTAAATGATCGCGTTCGTATTGGATAATGATAAAATCTCGAAAAACTGACTCGGTGACTGCTTGATGTATCCGCTCCGTAGGAATCCTGTCAATGTAAATCTTGCAGATCACTGCTAGTAGCAGTCTGTGCTACATCGTAGTATTTTATTTTATTTTAAGCAACTGATTACGATACATTGTGTGGTTAAAAAGGCCTGCTTTTGGTGACATCTCGCTTGAGCACGAAAAACTACTGTGAATTCATATATGACGAGTAAGGCCTACCTACACTCGACCGAGTTCAAAAAAACATATCGATTCATAGAGTATCAAGTATTCCATCCTGTAAATGCATGAGTTCCAGTTCAAGAGAACGTAATTTGCACAAACAAAGAGAACAATGAAATACCCATGGTGGCAAAATCCTAGGAATAGCATCTTTGAACTGCCCATGGGTGAGTCCACATGCCACCGTAAGCAACATAACATATGAAACGGGATAAAGAGAGCGGCTTTTGACTAACAAAAGAAATATCGTAGTAAAAATAGCAACAATGAAAGTTAGAGGGCGAGAACCCTTCCTTATTGGACTGACGACATAGACAGGAACCTGCTTTCAGTATGGAGATTTGGCCCATTTTTGTCTATGAAAACATCAGACTCGCTCTCAGCTCACTTCACATAAATAGACTTGGTTACGAGCTTTTGAATTTATCTGCCCATATCATCTCATTACCTGCCCAACTTTCCTCCCCCAGCCACAGATCCCAACAAAATGGACTTGCGACGAGCCCTATCCAACCTTTTTGGCAAGTTCGACCTCGGCAAGTTCCAGCTTGGCCAATTCCAGCTTGACAAATTCAAGCTTGACAAATTCAAGCTTGACGCAGCCGGTTTAGTAGCTCTGGCGGACCTCCAGAGTATCGCTAAATGGACTGCTATCACTGGTACTTCATCTTTCATGGATAGTCTTTTTCTGGCGCCAGGCATTCATAAACAGTCCTCGGCCCCTAGTCTAAGTGGTGGAGAGTTTCCCCCAATGGGAGCTTTGACGTCAGGATACGTTTTTCGGATTGAGAATGAAGCCACAGTGCACTTTCTGCAAAGTGTCGGAAAAACCGGCAATCTACTCAACCTAGTCGTGGACTTGCCGCCTACTACCATCATGGAGAAGTTGAGATACTTTATCGAAAGCCCTGGGAAGGTTCCACTCTTCCTCTATTCAATTGGTCAGGTCTTGACAATCGCTGTTATTATCATCCTTGCATTTTTGGAAGACTGGTGGGCCCTGGTGACACTTGCCATGTGGATGTCTGCTCGGATTTGCAACATCTGGTCTATCAAAAGACGGAGTCACATTGGCTGGAAAGGCAAGGTAGAGCCTGGGGTGAATGGTGATCTTCTTATTTTGCTCACCCAAGACCGATGGATTCGTCTTCGGGGAACAGTCGATGATTTGAAGGCTGTTACTTCCGGGCAATGGCTCCGGGACAAAACTTTGCTTGACGAACTCCTCATCGCCTTCTCAACTCTTGTGGTATACCTGTCCGCTGTGCTCTCGGGAAACTCGTCCACAACGGGTAGTCTGTATCTTCTTTGTCTATTGCTTGTATCAGCGGGGCTATTGGAACTATGTACGGGATTATCAAATGGTTTCCGAATGTATGGGCGTCAGCTCAGGGTGGTTGGCAAGCCGACCCCTTATACACGGCGACTGGACTTGGCAGAGGAACTCATACAAGAGACAGGAAGGGATGACTGGGCAATTGGTCTCGGCATGATATTGACACCCACGGGTCGAGGCGAGGGACCTGTTCTTCTCTGATCAACTGTTACGTGCAATGTTCCATCAAGCTATGTCAAGTATCTGAACATTGAAATAAATCGCTACTTTAAGACTTTGGGCAAGGTCACGGGGTCATGATACGTTGGATTCCATGGCTATTCCCGAGAAGTAGATCTACACGTGCAATATATACATCGGAATACCACATAGTAGATACATATGTATTATTTATAGGGACTTCATGACCTTGTAAGTCTCTGCGTTAATCTAGGCCACTCCAATAAGATGCTATGTAACTACGTAGTTAACTAGTTAGTTAATGAAATCCTTGGCGATTGTTGCCTTATTAATAAGGCCACAAGGACCAACTCCCTACGATGTACATCACTACCTGATCACTACCTTAGTGTAGCCGAGTGTTATCGTCACTAGTATTTTGATCTTGCAACGTGGAATCGGCATATATGGCGGAGTATATATCGACGTAGATCAATGTAGATCAGGGTTCATTCAGAAAGTCCTTAGAGTCCTCACGTCACCACCGAAAAATGGGCCTCCGCTTGTTCAAATGCGGAATCTTCACTCCACTTAATCTTTCACTAGCGCGCATGGAGCTCTGAGTAGCTCCGGGACAGATCGATCTTCCCCATAAAAAATCCCAAAATCTACAAAATCCCCCAAAGCGATGATGCAATGGCTTCTCAATCGACGTCACGGGGATGGAAGAAGCTTTCCGGACTTCCATTCCATACCCACCACGTATAGTTTTGTTCTCTGCCAATCCTCTTTTTTTCCAAGACTTCTGTTTTATCTGAATTTGTTGCAGTTCCTGAACAATGGCAACTGTGCAAATGACTCGCCAGCCCCGGCTAGCAGATGATGGTAAGATGATCGTCTCATGATCTCCAGCGGTCGGATCGCTAACCTCACGTGAGATAGCCGCCACAGCTGCCCTATATGTGACACACCCTGAACATAGGGCATCTCTCCGCGCCCCAACCGCAAACAACACGCAGCAGTTCAGTGAGTATCATCCCTCCATACGATAGGCGAATACACCCAAGCTGACAATGCGCCTTGCGCCAGACCCCCGCGCGGCCGGTGATACTCCAAATCTCAGCCACGCGTCCGCTGCCTCGGCGCTCGCACACGCGAATCGCAAACCAGTCGAAGTATGGCGGCCCCCGACTAGACAGCCTGCCGCTGAGAAGGCCGCATTATGCGTGAAGGACTACGCTCCGCCCGAGCAACCCCAACCCACCACCCAGCACAGTGCAGAGGGACTGGGAGCTGCAATGCTCGCTATTCGCGAACAGAGAGCCTCGGTGGGCCAGGCCCCTACGTCCGCTGACCACAGGCGTGGCAGCTCAGTAACCGATCGTTATCACCATACAGCCGTCGGTGGCAACCCGAAGGACAAGGCGCTCCAAGCCGCGTCGGGCGCTTACGCGCTCTCGCGTAAGAGAGCCGACTCGGCACCCAGTGACCCAGGGGTTACCTCCGAATTACCATATGGCCGTTCAGCCGCCGGCGCATCGCGACATGCTCGCGTGGAAGAGGAGGGCCCGCTTGATCGCTTAGACCCTGCTCTAAAAGCAAGCCGGATCCAGTATGCCGCTAACACTAACCCGAAGATGTACACTTCATCGCCACCTGTCCAAAGCGAAATCGAGGAACAAAACTACAATAACTCGCAACGCGCTGCTGCTATATCAATGGCAAAAGACATGTACAAAGTGACGAGTCCCGAGAAACAACCTGGCCAATCTCACGCTGTTCTAGCAGCCCAAAAAGGAGTGACTCAACCGGGCTACCGCAAGACCGCACCCACCGTGGATGGGATTGCCATCCGGCATGCGATCGCCCTACAGGAAGCTGCACAAAAGCGAGCCGCCGAGAAGCTGGCGCTTATGCATGATGAGCATGCAGAATACCAGCGATATTATGGCACCGCACCTCAACCGCAACGGTCGCGCTTGACCACCCGCCGCAAGAGAACTTCGAGCGATGCGGATGCCTCCCAGATCGACGCGGAGCAGTCGCGGCAAATCCGGAGCCAGATGACCAGCCTGCAGACCAAGTTGGACGAGGTAGATGTGCGAAAGACAAGGGATCGTGAATTGCTTATGCAGGCTGCCCGCCGCAATGTGGACCAAACCCTCCAGGACATGGAGGCGCAAGTTTACGCCAACACCGGTCGCGCTCCGCCTTCCGTACAGAGGGGGTGGGATGAAATTGCCCAGCAACGCCAGCGACGTGAGGCAGAGGATTTTGAAGGCGCTACCACTCAAGGAGATCGAGTGAACATCGGCGGCCAAAAGTTTATGGACATGGCCGACATCGACGCTGTCGCTCGGTCTCGCCTCCAGCCTGCTCTCGATGAGATTGCCGAGGATGCTGAGCTACGGAGAGCCCATGATATCGAAGCCCGTCTGGACGCTGAGGAGGAGGAGAGACATGCTGCTGTGGAGCGTCAGCGCGAAGCTGAGGTGAAACAGTTAGAGAAGCAAGTGAAAGGTTAGTTACACTGTCTTCCCTCTTTCAAGATATCTTATGACTAATGAATTAGGTGCAAGCAAACGCGACCACAAGTTCGAGAGCAAGGTTCCCAAATTCTTCTTGTGGAGGAAGAAGGGCAAACGAGCTCGGGTTGAGGAATCCGAGACCGAACAGGCTCAAGCTGTCTCGCCCGTTACCCAGGGAGGCGTAGAAGAGCAGGCTCCGACTACAGTCCCGTACAACCATGTCTCGACGGACGCCATCCCCGAGCAACCTTCTATTGAGACAGAAGACAACGTTTCGAGGATCGCCAATCCAGAGGAAGCTTCTATTCCCACAGAGGTAGCCGGTCCCGCAACCGTTGTTGCAGCCGCCTCCTCGGTCCCAGAGACTGAACCTTCAAAGCCTGAAGAAAACGAGACAAAACCTGAAGAAAACGAGACAAAGCCTGAAGAAAACAAGATGCCCGCAGCAACCCCACAGCGGCCGACACGAAGCCCGACCGAGCCTCCCCAGATCGAGCAGCGAGATGCAGCCGCCTCAGGCCCAACAATTGTTCACTACTTCACGCCACCAGTCACAAGCCCGCGCGCCGACACCAAGCTCAAGAACTGGTTCCGCGACCGTCTCGTTCGCCGCTCCAGTGGCCCAGTTCCCATCTACCCCCACCAGCCTGGCCCGGAATCCACCACAGACAACGAACCTGCCTTTCAAGGCGGCGTCAGTCTAACCGGCCGCGACGAGCCCCGCGGCGCAGCACTTGGCTCACACCCTATTAGCGTGGGTGAAGCTACCACAACCCACAACAGATCTTCGAGTTACTACAGCAACGAACTTGATGTGACCAAGATTAATAGTGCCAACTCTTTGCCAGAATCTACTAAACAAAATGGCAATGGCAAGAAGAGGAACCCTCTGAGCAGGACGTTCCTCAGGGCCGTCTCCCGTAGCCCTGATGAGTCGAACGATGGTGACTCGCGTCGTGACTCGGGGGTTCAATCTTCGTCCAAGGATATCGGCGGCGGTGATCTCCAGAGTCTGCAGGATAGTACTATTGGGCAGAGTCTTCCTGTGCCACCTACTATTGGTGAGACGGTGAACGGGAAAAGAGAATCGCGATTCTCCGAGAATCTGTGATACTCATATTGAATGTTGATGTGTATGTCTATTTGAAACGTTGACTTGATGTACGATTTTATTATTTTTTGGATCTTACGGGTGATTTATTGGTGGTTTTTGGAACTTGAAATCGGTGAATCTGGAGGCTATTGGAGTCGGGTTGTTTACTTTGCTGGTAATTTTCGGTGCTTCGTATATACTCGATCTAATTAACGATGTCTTTATGAAACCCTAGCAACATCATTGAACATGTCTTTCAAGATGAGCAATAACACGCCTAAGCGTATCACCCACAACCTTGTCTCCCAATTCCTCATCCCCATCCAAATCAATAACCTCCTTCGCCTCAAACCCATGCCCCTGTCCCTCCGCACACTCCAGCGAAACATCCACTCCAAACGCCTCTAAAGTCCTAGCCACAGCAACACTCTGCTCAAACCCAACCAACTCATCCGCACCCCCATGCAAAAGAACCGTAGGCGGAAAACCCTCCTTCAACCCAAAGCTAACCGGGAAAAGCACCCGGTCCTCCACCGAAACCGCCCCAACCCCCTCACCAACAATCCTCCCCGCCAATCCAGGCTTTCTTGCAAGCACATCCGCATACCGTGCCGCCTGATGCAAAGCCCCAATCCACCCAAAGCGACGATCAGCAGGCGGGCTCAGCGGGAACGGATACCCACCAATAGCATCATTCCGCATTGCATCCTCAATCTCCTCCAAAGCTTGCGCTTCATTATCAACAGGACCACGAAGCGGCCGTCCCGGGTGGATATACCGCTCACTGGCTGGATCCAGCATCCCGTAAATGGAGAGCACAGCGAGCGGCCTCGGTGTAGCCGGGTGCGCGGCAGCAGCGAGGGCGAGATACCCGCCTGCGCTGGAGCCGGCGATTATCACCCGCTTGCTGATGTTCGCATAGACCCAGTTTACGGCGTCTGTTGCGTCTTGTAGGATTTCGAAGCCTGAGGATTCTGGGAGGAGACGGTAGGAGGCTGTTGCGTATGTCCAGCGTCGTTTTTGGCAGGCGTTTATTAGCCAGTGTGGTGGGAAGGTGGTTTTTTCGCCTATTACCTGTGATATGGGAGTGAGATAGGGTGTTTTGGTTTAGATGGTGGTATTTTGTGTTTTGGACTCACTAGGAAGCCTCCGTGGAAATGCAGGAGGGCGGGGCTGTTTTCTTCTTTGGTTGGAGGTGTGAGGACATCGATCTCTAGTGAGAGGCCGTCTACGACTTTGAAAACATATGTGACTGACATGATTGTGTGTGGGATTTTATGTTTTATTGGAATGGAGGATGGCCTTTTTATTTAACTGCTCGCTCATAGGCAGGAGATACCCCGGGGGCCCGCGGGATTTCCCCACACTATATAGCGGATTTGGTAGTTGGAGGGAACAGACGGAAGAGTTTATATATTTAATAGGCTAACCTCAATTGGCCCGTTATAGCTGTATAGGATCTTGTGCAGAGCGTAAATAGTCTGTACAATATGTACAATATGTACAACGTGTAATGGCTGTGGGAAATCCCGCGGCTTCAAAGTGTGGGGAACCACCGGGGATGGCAGTCACGGCAGTTATATTGTATATTTGTATTTGTCTATTTCACATATATATTCTACACGTAGCGCATGGCTTCTCGGGTTATTTGATTCATTGCCTTTAATACTTCTCCAAAATGCTCGACGTCTCACTGGTAGCATTCGAGGTGCTGGGGCCGGTCCAAACAACCAGTCTGGTAACCGGTCTCGCGCTTACAGGATGTATATCGTACATGTTATATTTCCACCCCCTTTCGCAATACCCAGGGCCAAAGATAGCTTCTTTGACGAGTCTCTGGAGGGCATATTATGTTTACAAGCTAGTTCTCCACGAGAAGCTAGTCGAGCTACACCAGCAGTATGGGCCCGTCGTCCGAATCGGTCCTAACCATCTCCATTTTTGGGACGGTGAAGCTATCGCCCCGATCTACAAAGGGGGCAGGAAGATGGGAAAGACAGAGTTTTATGATGCCTTCACTGCATTTAACCCCAATCTCTTTGGGGGCAGGGATGAAGATGTCAGAGGTCACCTCTCTACTTATCAGACAATTTGCTGAACAAGAACAGATCCATTCCCTTCGTCGACGACAACTAGCCCACGGATTCTCACAAACATCAGTCGAAAACTTCGAGCCCCTCATCAATAGCCAGATAGAGATCTTGCTCAGCAAACTCAACGAGTTGGCAAAAACCGAAGAGGTCTTTGACCTGAAGTCTACCATCTCGTGCTTTGTTCTTGATATCCTAGGCGAAGTCGCATTCAGCCGGCCTTTCAATGCCCAACTCAGAGGAGAAGCAAATGAAATACACGCAATAAACGACCACATCCTCCTATCATGCGTAATTGGTGAACTTCCCCTCCAAGCACTGTCAAAACTTTTAGCTCGATGGTCGCCTGTTCCGTGGATGCGAAAACTGGGGAAGAGCAGAAATAACCTCAAGGCAACGTGCTCCGAGTGCGTTAGCAACAAAATCAACAATGCATCCGACCGTCGGGATCTACTCCAAAGCCTTGTGACTGCGAAAGACGTTGAAACCGGCGCCAGTCTCACTGAGCAAGAAATTAATTCAGAGGCGTTTGCTATGCTGTGAGTATATACCTAGGACTTAAAAATTTTCGATTGTGTACTTATTTGTACCAGGGTAGCAGGCTCTCATTCGACCTCTGGTACACTGACACTCCTCTTTTGGCACCTCATTCATAACCCAGAGGTATATGCTGCCGTCGCCACTGAGGTAGCCCGTATTCTTCAGCCACTAGAAGATGGAGACATTTCTTATCCCATCAGGGGACTGGAGGCTTCTTTGCCATACACCATGGCATGCGTGAGGGAGAACTTTCGCCTGAACCCAGTGTTTACCATGCCGCTATGGCGAAGTGTCGGGTCACCAGGCGGTGCGAGAATTGGCGAATTTGACGTGCCATATGGTGTAAGTTTCGCTATCCTTCTAACTATACCGGTCATAGTCTCCAGTCCATAATCTGACCCTTGAATACGAGAAATAGACCAATGTCTGCATCTCGAATTATGTCCTCCATCACAATCCAGAGATCTGGGGCGAAGATCATGCGGTATTTCGTCCAGATAGATGGCTGGCAAAAGACGAGCCCAACCGGAGTCGGTTCCTCATCCCATTTAGTATTGGACACCGCATGTGCATCGGTCGAAATCTCGCCATGACCAATATATTGAAGACGCTTACTACCTTGATCAGTAAGTTCGAGTTTCATCCCATCTCTCGGGATGACCATGTCCGGGTCCGCAGCTCGGGGATTGGGGAGATGGAGGGATCCTTTCGATGTAAAGTTTCCGTGAAACGCTGAGGCATGGCTCATGTATGGGATTGGAAAATCTATGGACAATATGAAGCGAATGAAAGACTTCAGGGAAAAACAAAATTGTCTACTGTCAGAGCTCTCGGATAGCTTGGCACTTCAGACGCTACCTAAGAAGCTAGAACGAAAATACGAGATGAAGACTATGTAACAAAAGGCCATCAAGTAAATCTGGTTCTACTATGTACGCACTAGACATGAGGCTATAGTATGTTACTGTAACGATACAGGATTGTGCACATTTATCAAAAGTTTATGCGCAATTCCTGGCTTGTAAACAAATGTGTTTGTTTGGCATAGTAATAATACCGAACATGTGACATGCGTATCATCACCAACCCCCCAGCCTTTCCTCTTTCTCCACTTGCATCACCCCGAAACATGGGAGATACGTGTACTAACTTTGAACACGAGAAGTCATTGAAATTCCCTGGAAATGGAATCTCAAACTTCTTCAAATGACCAAATGAACTCTATGCCTTTTAAGTGCTCAGTTTGCTCCCAAATCTTCGGAAAGATCCAACACCTCAAGAGACACAGATCAACCCGTACGATCTAAACCCCTTTGGGTATCCCTTTTATTGTTATCAACAACTAAATCCTTATTTGGTAGATATTGACAAGAAACCACATCTCTGTGAGTTCTGTGGTTCTGAATTCACACGCAGGTAAAGTCAGGCCAACTTTCAGTTGATAGCTCGGCCATTTGACGAAACCTCACCTTGACAGTGATGCCCTTCGCCGTCACTGGAAGGCTTGCACAGCCCGTTTAGCATCTGGCAACCAAGTTCCCCGGCGTACTCGATCTGGAAAGAGAAAGCATGCGTGTGATCGTTGCACAGAGCGCAAACGCGCCTGTAACCAAGGCAACCCTTGTGCTGAGTGTACTCTTCAAGACTCCGAATGCACGTACATTCAGAAGAAGCAAAGATATTCACAGATATCCATGAGCGCGGTAGATTCTCATGGTGACAATGGTGGGAACGATGTTCCTGGCGCTTCCGAATCCCAGCAAAAGCCAAGTATCCAGGGCCAACAGTTGAGAAATACTATTGGCATCGCTGATCGATGCCGGTTTGACTTTCTCTTGAAGTTTACTCGTGCAGCTGGAGTCAATGAAGCGTATAACTGCAATCGCTTGTTCACGGCAGATGAACTATACGACCAGAGTGTCTCTGAAGATGGCACATCTCAAACGAACCTAGATCCATGCCTTCTGGGTGAGGACTATTTATGGCCAGATGGGGATAGGGGACCATTTACCAGATATAACAGTTCCACAAGAGAAGACCTCGCCAATGATGCCCTGAGGCTTCAATCCAGTCACATTTGGGACATGCTTCTCCCTTTCTGCGATGAGAAAACAGAAGGGAGTGTAACTATGGCCGATGTTATTTCATTCTTCTCGCCAGAGAATATCCTCCATTTTCTTGACATATTTTGGGATCGCTGGTATCCCCACTGTCTAATCTTCCACAGGCCAACATTCAAAATTGACTCCTGCTCGCCTCTCCTTCTTACACACATGGTACTCATGGGAGGCTGTATATCCCCATATAGGGCTGATCGCTACATTGCAAGGCTACTCCTAGATATTGCAGAAGGGATTGTGTTCTCACAGCCTATGTTCTCGGCCACAGCAACCCGGGTTGAAGGTACGGATCAAAGCCATCTAACCCAAATCAGCACTTTGCAGGCAACATATTTGATTTGTATTATGCAAAAGTGGGAAGGGAGCAATGAATCAAAGGTCCGCATTCAGCGTGATCAATTCACAAAATTTGTGTCAGTACGTACAGTCTATCAAATCACCTACCATTCCTCAAGACTGGTCTCTAATTAGTATTTACAGGCAACGCGGGCAATGGGATTGTCAAGGGCTAGACACAGCCATCGACCCATTACCTCGGAATTTGACGATTCCGAATGGCAAGCATGGATTGAAAGAGAAGAAGTCAATAGGTGCGTTCAATGAAATCAAGCTTATCAGGCTTGCCAGTCGTATATTAATCCCAACACAGAATGTGCAACTATGTATTTCTTCTTGACTCCGCTTTTGTGATTTTCCACAATTCATTCCCACGAATGGTTCTCCAAGAGATGCAGATTGATTTGACATCTCCAGAGCCATGGTTTCAAGCATCTTCTGCAGCCGACTTCCTATATGCTGTCCAGGCAAACCCAGGACTACCGGAGAAGCATATATCTCTTGTTGATTCTGTTCGCAGGTTGTGCAATGCTAGCCCGAACCAAAGCACGGACTTTTTGAGCGGTGCTAGCAAGCTGAATCTTTTCACGGTCGCTACAGGTGAGCTTTCCCTTGATACTATTCGCAGATCGTTCAATTAACTCTCGGGATACAGCGATCCATGGTCTTATATTTCATCAGAAATCCTCGTTGTACACGCTTCCACTTTCCGATAACCCGCTAGGCAAGGCACTCGACCGGTGGGAGGTCGCTTGGAAATCAAATCAGCAGCAACCACTGTATACGCGGGCATCGAGGAATACAAGTCGTCCAGCCGACCAGGAATATGGGTTTATGCAGTACGCTGATGAGTTTGCTGTCCTGGCACGTATCTCTCTCAAATTATCATATTTCTCACCAACAGAATGGTCGGAACTTATCGAGGGATTGTCTGATCGCTCCTCTCGCGGCGAATTTGCTACTTTTGATCAAGCCGGCATGGGCCCTATTGGGGATTTGATGCTGGCTGTGGAAAACTTGAGCTTGAATAGGTAAATAGTCAGGCTAGTTGTTCTTGGTACGTATCCTTGATGATAGAAATGAGAAACTCGAGGATCTTTAGGGAACTGCTTGAAATTTCAAAAGCCCAGGTTACTACAAATTTTGGTAGCTAAAGCTAGAGACAAGGTAAGAATTGAATAATATGGCGTCAGGGTATCACCAATGTGGTCTGCCATCATTTTCAACGGTGTATCAGGCTTTAACTGCCCATTTGAAATGTTCCAATCGGCCCCGTAGTCAAAAAGCAATTCCATCACTTCGTTTGCTGCGTCATAATAAACTGCCAAATGCAGAGGCGTGTTACCCTTGGTTGTTCTTGCATTCACATCAGCACCGGATTTCAACAACAGCTCTATGACTGGAATATTGGCTAATGAACCTTCTTTCGAGACCGCTAGGTGGAGCGGTGTAATTCCATAATTATCAGCTGCGTTGACATTGGCTTCGTGGGCGAGATAAACCCCAGTGAGAGTGTCTCCTTGCGTCTCACCAGATGCTGCAATGTGTAATGGTGTTCTCCCATTCACATCCTGTACATTGACATCCGCACCATGATCAAGGAGGAGGTTGGCTATCTCGGTGCATCGAGGGTCGTATCCCGGCTTGATGGGATTAATCAAATGTAACGGAGTCGTACTCTCATGATTGCGAGCATTCACATTGGCTCGATGTTCAATAAGCAAACCTATAGTATCCTGCTGCAAGTGAGGATAACTGATCATGGCCGTATGTAGTGCTGTATATCGGGAACATTGATCGGCAATGTTGACATCGGCCCCGGATTCAAGAAGTAGCTTCAGAGTATCGTAGTAGCTGAATGGCGTTTGGCGGTTCCTATGTAGACATAGACCACGTCTCCTCCACGGCCCTCCTTTATGGTAGGAGTATTGACCCTTAGATCTTATGGTTGTACTAAGAGTAGTGTATCCACAAATATTTGTGATGTTGAGATCAACGCCGTAATCATGCATTAGTTTGACGATAGTAAAGTACCCCTTCTTTGCGGCAAGTTGGAGGGGAATGAATTTCCAATGCACCTTCTTGTCCATTCGGGCCCCGTGTTCAAGAAGTAACTTCACGATCTCTTCATGGCCATTTGCTATGGCGTCGGAAAGAGCTGATCCGAACCAGTTTGACCAATCATCGGCGTTCGCACCAGCTTTCAGTAACAATCGAACTCTGAAGATATCTCCAGAGGTGCAGTACGGTCTTAAATTCAAATGACGATTGCGGAGAACACTGGAATGAAATCTGATATAGATCGGGGTGGGTTTCGAGGACTGAGATGATATCTTGGACTTCGAGTTCTGCTAGAATAGCAATCAAAAGTTCATTTGGAAGTGAAAGAAGTGACATTTTGTTTTGTCTTGAGATGGTGGTTAAAGAGAGAAGCAGTTACTGACAGCGAAGTGCTAAGGAGCAAACTTTCCAGCGTTAAGCCAACACTCATATACAAATGCGGCAACGGAGATATGACCCAGGGTACTCCGTTCATGCACAAGATTTTCGGCCAGGGCGTTCTCGAATATTTTCACAGTTTTTGATACCAAAATTTCGCAGACGTCGGGGGCATTGTCTCACATATTGATAATTGATATAGAAAACGTGTTAGAAGTAATATAGCAGCACTCTACCGCTATACCATAGAAAATCCAGCTCTCCTTGCTAAATCCCGCAAGAATCATGTTGTGGAGAAGCTCATTGAAGATGAGATAGAGGGGAAAAGACGGGACAGCTGTTATCCAAGCCAAGATCAGCTGCTCACAAAACATTTGAGATTTGCCTACGTCTAATAACCTTTACCAAACAAGAAGAACGTGCTGGGTGACCTAGATGCGTACTTTCGTCATATCTATCGCCCAGGCATTGTTCAATATATTAGGAAGGATTAATGGCATTGGCTCGAAAGCGTAAACTAATTAATTAATTAACACTATGGTGTTTTTCGACCCATGCGCGTAACTCAAAGACCGGGTGACATTTTCCCAAATTGCTCGACAATCCATACACCGAATTTTGTCTTCAGTGGTTGCGGAAATGCATTTATTCTGAGTTGTCGATGGCAGTGCACTAAACGTTGAATTGTGAGCTGCTGAAAGTGATTCGAATAAAAAAAAACGGTGAAGTCCTACCTTTCCCTTGCCTTTAGGGCAGCAAGCAATGATGTTTTTGCAGGAGGGGCCAGTGTCGGTGTCCTCGGTTAAGGCTGCGACATTGTTAGGATATTGCTTTTGGAATGTTCAACTTTGGGGAACGCATACCAAGGACGTTGACGTCGTCAATCAGGCTGGCCTTAGCACAAGCGGCATTGTCGTTGCCGAGGAGGCCGTTTAGGGCGCCCTTGGCCAGGAGGTTACCGAGAATACCATCGGCAGAGATTTCCTCCTTGGAATCACAGCAAGCGATGTCGCCAGAGGTGCACTGGTCCTTAGCACCACCAAGGGCGGCGGACTCAGAGAGAGACATGGCGGTGGCGGAGACAGCCAGGGCAAGGACGGCGGAGATAGTGAACTTCATGATGATGTTTAGAAAGGTTGATTAGATGTGAAATGCTGGAAGAGATGAGATTGATTTTTCTTTTTGAGGTGATAGAAGCGCCGACTTTATATGATGGTATTTGACCCTTGTTTCGTAATCTGACGTATATCACTGCCACCGGAGAATAAAAATATGATGCCGGATGTGGAATTTCTCTTTTGTTAGAAATATACACAAGACTAATGGCATGGAGTACGTACGTCCTCTCGACGGTACGGTCTCAGGAATGTCGATCTAAGAATCCGGAATGCCCATCCCCACCACTTTCCGCTCCACCAAATCACCCACAAAAGGGATAGACAACGAATAAGATTCATCAATACTAGATGACTATTGAATTTCAAGCCAAGCTTACGTTATAGAGATTCCTTATAGTGAATGGCTCAATGAAAGATCTGATGTTGGATGCCGTTCGAAAATAAGAAGGAAGAAGAAAAAAAGAAACCAACCTTGCTCCCCTTTCAACGCAGGAGATATCGATGTATTATTATATAGAAGTTCATTTGCTGTGTGATCAAAGTTTTAGGGGCGTTCAAGGGCGTTCAAGGGCGTTCACGGGCGTCCAACTATCCCGGGTCCTGGTGGATAATTTGGCACATTCATGCGTGGGTGTAAATTCCGGAACTGCTGGTAGGTCTATAGACTACAATCTCGTATAAAATGCAACCTTCTACCAAGGAAGTGGGGAAGACTACAGCCAATGAAGTTGCGATTTCAATCATGGCATGTAGCCCTTCTTTGCTAGTTTCCTTTTTGAGGATGCCGGATATACTACAAGCCTAAAATAAACTTCTCCGAGTTCAGACCCTCATAGGTTTAATCACAGCGTTGTATAGTGAAAATGTGACCTTGAAATGATCATCGATCTGGTTCTGTTAGGTAAAGATTGTCATAAGTTCCATTTAGCAAGGCTCAATAGTACCATCAGAGCGTCTCAGGGGCTTCCCATGTTCCCACTTGCCCCAGTGAGAAAGAAATTCACGAATGAACCAGAGTTTCTGTTAGACTAGGGGTAATTACACACCGAATGCGGAATAATGGCGATCACAGTTCTGACTGCGCGCTGTTGGGTGGAGAAATTGTTGGGAACTCGAATCTCAGAATCATGTTACTGTGTAGTTATAATTCGAAAAGGTATACTGAGCTCCCGACTAAGTCTGAGACCGTTCAATGTGTGACAAGTTCTATGGTCTATTTTAAGACGCCAAACCTGGTACAAGCGATAGAATGGAATGGCAATGTTATACATTTCAATCACGAGGGCGATGGTCTTTAGCAATCAAACTTTCTTGACGCTGAATGATGCTTTTTCGTTGGATAGAAATGCTACGAATAATATAAATCATCCACATTCAACGTTCGTAGCTTATTTTGTGGCTTGTAGTGGGTGGCGTGATCTAGAAGATCACTTGTATAACTAAATCGTATCTGAGAGAGCTCTGCTCTCTACCTACGGTGGTCAGCATTTCCGTATTGAATTTATTTCTAGTTGAATGGTTCTCCGCAGGAGCCTTTCGCCCTCCAACGCGTCCGTAAAAAGTCTAACAAATACTATTTGTCTCATCCAAGCATTGCTAAATGTTTTTTAATAACTCATGAAATAGCATGATATTTATCCTAGGTTATACCATACTCGGTATAGCTCTCACTGCATGATAGCTAGTATACTTGTTCCTCCGTGAGATATGTAATCAAATTTATCTTTCCTTTCTATGTTGGCAATATGTACAACACCAAGTACCCAAAGGCTTGCTTTTTTTTTCTCGATAATATATTTCACCTTATCAGCTAGTGACACCCCTTATACCAAATAGTTTACACTAATGCAAAACCGTCTATCTGAAAGCGGGTACTCCTTTATCTGACCTACGATAAATGCATGAGATGGTAGGCGGGAGCTTTTATGGGAGTTTTAATTGATCTAGCCAACAATATATAGACTCTTGGTTGATCTAGTAAAAACACTTAGTGTTTGACACCTTCACTCCTCGTCGTTTCCAGAGTTGTCAATGGCGGTGCACTGGTTTTCAAAGGTTAGACACTAGCACGATCAAGGGTTGCTATTACTTGAAAACTTACAGTGGTGGTTCCCTCAGGGCAGCAAGCAATGATGTTCTTGCAGACGGGTCCCGACTTGCTGTTCTTGACGGAGGCTTTGAAGATGTTAGTGCCATTATTCTGGATCCCTCATTTGGCCGGGACTAAGTTGACTTACCAAGGATGTTCAGCTCATCGATGAGGCTAGTACTGGCGCAAGGCGAGTTGGAGTTACCCAGAATACCGTTCAGAAGGCCTCCGGCGAGAAGGTTTCCGAGAATGCCATCGGCCTTGGTCTCCTCTACAGAGTTGCAGCAGGAGATAGAACCAACGTTGCACTGGGACTTAGCGTGCTCAAGAGCAGGCGAGTCTGACAGCTTGCCAGCCATAGCAACGGCCACGGTGAGAGCAAAGGCAGCGGTTCCGGCGAACTTCATTGTAGCGAGAAGAGTATTAGGGAAGGTATTAAGTGTTTGGTATAATGTATGAAAGTAATTGATCTGTGTTGAGGTTGAACTACGAGAGAGAGCAGCAGCTTTATAGCAATTCGCGAGGCAGGCGTTGTACCGCTTCTATCAAGTTGATGTAGAGTCTTGACCGTTTGCGGGTTGAAGCTAGGTATTATTTCTTGATATCTCCAGGCATTATGATGGATGCTACTTCAATATAGGATTGGGTGACGCTTCGATTATTGAAGATTCCTACTGTAATTAATATTTAGAAGTAGCCCTTATAGTAAAATAGTAAAACTAAGTAAGCGTAATAGAGTTGATATAAATGGATCTGATCTACCTACGACTGTAATTGTCTACATATGTAGTATTTTATGGTTCCATTAGCGGCGATTACAAAGTTTTCCACTGTCAAATTTGGCCAATTCCGGCTGCCGAACTCGGTGAAACGAGCAAAATGAGTGACAGTCAAGCCTTATGCAAAGGGATCTTGTATTTATTTAATGTGTTGTCGCCACCCCCTTGCATCTAGTTACCGGAACCATACATATGTAGTGATAATGTAGTACCTGGAGCACTGTTGGCACTGCGATTTCACTATTGGCACAGTGATCTAACCTGATTAGGTGTAGCACCCACTTTTCAATCCAGTGCCATTTATTATGGTATCAACGTAGTCGTTCTATCTAAAATTCACATGACCTATCATATAGAGTATTACCTGGGTAGATTTTTAATTGATTCCACAACCACGCATAGTAGAGATAACTTAATTCTGTAAAGGGTATTAAACTGATAGAGAATAAAGGGCATCTAATCAATTATTTCTGACCGAAATTTAATACTAGTAGTAGGGAAATCATACTGAGGAGTTAGGGTGAAAACTCAATGAATTAATATTGAGCTTAGCTTTAACGTATAATTCACATATTACTAGCATTAAGTTTCGGTCGGAGGTAATTAATTAGATGCTCTCTACTGTATATAATCCTAATACCCTTTTCAGAATTACAATATCTTCACTATTAGGGGTAGTGGAATTAATTTAAAATGTCGGTGATTTTTAGATAGAAGTGAGCGTTTTCGAAATCTACTATACCCGTTGATGGGGTGGGGTATAACCTTTGATTTATACCTAGCAATTCCCCTTAGGCGTACATCTTGCTCAATGAAGGTCTCACTGTCTCCAAAGATGTAAAACTACAATGCCCCTTGTCGTCCTCAATTTCACCAAACCCCCCCGCCCACAATGGCGATGCCACTGTTTCACCCCACGTCACCAGCCCTCTAACTGCAAGATCCAAAGCCTCGTCTTTAGTTACATGGCATGCAGCACTAATCGCAACACTACAAGACCCCGCCAGCGGTATTTCAGACTTGAACTTTTTGAATGATAGTCCAAGCAACAAGCAGACCATGAAAGAACCCACAAGGATGGAAATAAAGATAGCCATAGGGTTATAGCCCAGGGAGCTAACTGAGAACTGGTAAATGGGTCGACCAATCCAGTCATATGCCATGACCCGAACATAAAATATACTCTGGGAAATCAACCAGTGGAGGACCATGTAGATCACCAGCAGGGGGACTGCGTACTGATATGGCATAGATAGCCAGTACGTTGACTGCTGCATACTGTCTTTGACAGGCCATGTCACTCGAAGGGGCTTCGAACTTGCCCCGTAGGAGCTGTATTCGGCAGTCGCCAGCATGCTGGTCAGCACACTGTTGTAGAAGAAATAGCTGACTGTGATGATAAGTTGCGGTATATTGGCTATCACCAGAGAGCTCAACGTGGGCAGTGTCCCTTTCAGGTCGACGAATTCAGAGGAGCCCCCGGAGAACCCTTCTTTCCACATTTCATGAAGCGCGCTTGTCGTCACCCAGGGACCTCCTCCTCGCGGGGCGAGGGCCTGCTCGAAGAGGAATGCTCCGACGGCAATACATGCTAAGCACCTAGATTCTCTGTGGTTAACATACGGTCTGAAAAAATGTTGCAATGTGGGCTCTTACAACACAAGGGTCGTTATCCAGCGTGGGAGGCTCGAGGCCTGCATCCAGTGCTTGGGTCGCGATAACCGCTTGTACACCATCGGCTCTCGCTGACCCCCTTCCAAAGGCTCCTCGGCAGAGTCCTCTGTCTTTTGAGACACCTTCCATGCTCCACGACGGACATCAGCGTTGGATAACCAGCACATCCCCCGCGTGGTGGAATCTGGCTTCTCCATAAACGACGCCACAGCATCGCCCACGGTGAGCAAAGGTGGCGATCGATGACGACCTATCCTTGCTGCCAGGAACATTGCTACGACTTTTATGAAAGTCACGAGAGCAATGATAATGCAAATCGGTGGACTGTAAAGCAGCTGGCATCGGTTTTCAGATTTGATCACAAGACATCCGTCGACGCTATAAGTCTTTGATTCATTTATTGATGTACCATCGCAAGTAGTCACATAGCCACTGGCCGCGATGTCAGATGTGGTGTTAGCCTGGATGTATTGATTAACCCTCTCAAGAGTCGGCTGCTCCACATCAAGGTTGGCCCAGTTGAACATATCATAGGCATCCGAGCAGGAACTCTCATCCAGAGTGTCAATACAGGCCTTTTGCGTGAAATTGTCGTTTGTGTAGTAATGGGCTCGACCAGAGTCAAGGATATTTATCATTAAGGTCTTGCCAGCGAATTCGGATCCATCCACGATGTACCTGAGGTCCTTATCGCCCTGGTACAGGCTACCTTTTTGGCCCACCGAGAGTATCGCAGTATTCCCACCTTGGCTCACAGACAACGAATTCGTGAGCACGACCATCACTTTTGCGCCCCCGTTTTTTCCGAAACTCTGCAGATGCATACATTGCTGAGTATCCAGGCGCTCATAATCCCCCCGCGCAATATCAGAGGCAAAGTCATGCCAATTCAACTCACCCTCGGGGTACCCATCCTCCGTAACATCTGACAAATATGAGCTGGTGAGATCATCGCTGTCAACATTAGCACCCCGATATACAGAAGCATCCCCGCCAGGAAACACCGGGACAATGCTGAAGCACTGATCAAGGGCAGGAGTCTTCAAGCTCGCGACGTTGGTAGAATTCAAATCCCCAGGTCCCACAACAACGTGTAACTCGTTTATGGCCACGGATTCAAAAACCATCGCGTTGTACCTGCCGACTTATGTCAATTCCATATCCCTGGTATCTTAGACCTCTTCCGAAAACATACAACAGATGAAATGGTGTCGCCGTGACAAGCAACACCAGCCACAGAGCGAGCCGCGATCGTCCAATGACAAAGAGATTCCTCACACTCGAGCACCCGATGTCAAGCCATCGACCTCGCCCGTGATATTTATCAACCTCTTCCCGACTCGGCGCGACTAGTGACTGCATGCAGTAGTTGCTAGCACCCAAGATTCCAGTACTGAGTACGTTGATTATCAAGTGCAGGGCGATGTTCCATCGTTTGGACAAGGCACAGCTGCCCTGATACATTACTTGAAAGCTGGAGAATGCACTGTTCTCCGCGTTTCTGTTGGATAACCCAGCAGCGACGGCAATGAAGATGAGATTCAGCAGAAGCAGAACAGTGGTTGCCTTAGCACAGAGAAGGACGCCATTAATCCAATGTGGCTTCTGGGGGCTTGATGACTCGTGCCCAATGGCCTCTGCCTCAGTATTTCCCTCGATATTTTCCTGCCCCTCTATCTGATTGGACCATTTGGGGCTTGTTTTCTCTGTTCGATCGCTGGGAACACCATGGTAGCGTTGGCCGGAGAACACAGATTTGGCACGTTGCCATATACTCTCACTGCCCATCCTTTGGGTGGGAGTGTACTCCGTGGTATAGGGTAGAGATTGACCCCAGGCTTGGGATAGAGAGAGAAGTGTGCAGAGCGTACCGGCGACGTGGGTTAAAGTAATTTTCCGACTTCCCAGTGCTCAAGAAAATGGGGCTGAGTTTCGTACCAATGCGCCAGTGAATGTGGAAATGATCTTCGATCCTTGTTTTGGCCCCATCACCCCGATTGGTGCTGATACCCGCACGGCACATCTAGTGCTCTTGGCATATTTACTTCGCCATTGGCCCCAAGCCTGTGTTTTCATACTGTGTATGCTAGGTCTAAGCCAGAGAATTGCATCAAAGTGTCGTCACCTCTAGCTCGCCGTATCTAGCAACAGACGTTCGAAAGGGAAGTCAGGGTAGGAAGGAGCATACCGCACCGGCTAGTATATTAGAATTTGGTCATGGTGTACAGGTAGGTACTGACCTCTAGCCATTGTGATTATGTGCGATTTTCAAGCTTTGTTTAAAGAGAGTGGGCAGCAAAGGAGAGGATGCATTCATTCAGATGCTTGTGCGTGGAAATAGAAGGCCTGCAGGTGAGCACGTTACTTGACTCACATGACATTTTGTTGAAGTAGGTGATCTTCACTTGCTTCACTTCCTAGTTTTCCTAGCCTTCTTTTTCTTTTCTCTTCCCTTTCTTCTCTCTCTTCACTTTCGTTTTCTCTTTCACTTCTTTACCTTTCTTGTCTTTTATTCTTTCTCCTTTAAATCCTACCAGTGAAAGGGACTTTTCAACATGGCGGCAACCTCTCTTTTCTCATTACCGAACGAGTTCATTTGCCAAATTGCGTCAGACTTGTGTGTACGCGACATCATCTATTTCATTCAGTGTTACCACGGCTTTTGCCAAGCTCTTCTTTGGCACTGTCAGCACCAACGAAAGTGCCAGGAACTACAAGAGGCTCTAACAGCGTGTATCCGAGCCGACAATGTGGATGGAGCCTGGCTTCTGCTTTCAATAAATGCAACATAGAATGTGTCAAGGATGGCCACAAAGGCCAAGGAGAATCATCACCGTTCTATGGCGTGTACCTGCCCCGATCAGGGGCCTTCCCTTTTAGTCAAAACTCGTCACCCACCCCAGTTTGTTCATCGCTTTAAGCCACTGAGAAAATATAGATACCCCTCCCCTCTCACTTCCCTCTCTTCTTCTTTCTTCTCTCCTCGACACTCCGGGCCCACATTGCACATTGTGGTCCCTTGATCAGTTTCGGATGTCTCTGTGGGCAGCTCAGGGTAGGTTGTGGCACGAAGAATGTCGGTGGAGGTAACATGACGGGTTCATACTGCCATAGACAATTCGACTCACCTCTACGGATACAGACTGTCCTTCCTAAACTTGTACTGGGCTGTTAGAGGTGGCCGTGATGGGATAGTGGAGGCTCTTTCTGAACACCTTACTCAAATCAAAGTGGATATCCCAAATCTCAAGGTCAATTCTGTTACAGATGCGCTTGAATGCGGAAATGATCTTTGGGGCTTGTTTTGGCACTGTTGACGCCATCGGTGCTGATACCCACACGACACATCTACATACGGATAACACCCGAGTTTTCTATAAAGCTATAGACCTAATAGTAGTAGCGGCTTAGCTCTAGGTTTCCTAGGCCCCTAAGCTCGTCTAGTGAAAAGTAACTGTGTTGCAGAACTTAGCCTCATGGGGTGTAGATATTCTCGACGTCGAAAATAGAAGCTATCACTACTGCGATAAATGGCTAGTATAGAGAGCTTGCTACACTTATTAATTACATTCTAAGAGGCCCAGAACTAGGATAAGAGTTCAACTATTCGCTATAATCCTGTAAATGATAAACTAATACCTAAGATCATTATTTAGAGGAAATGATATAAACCTGAAGCTGTATGCACTAGTACTCGGATAGACCAATGGGCTCCCACTGTGAATACTTGATATGAGTTCTTCTAGATTAAGAATCGATATGCGGCAAGCAAGACAGTCCCTTCACCTCGAAAGAGATGGGGACAGATGGGGAAGAGACTGAACGTAGGGAGGATGTGAGCTGAATGGTAGAAATTCCGGCCAATACTCAAAGTTTTTATGTGGTTTCCGCAACACAAACTCCTGGTTTAGGTCGGGGTTACATGATCTGTCTGTTTCAAAGGTACACTATTGTTCCAAATATCATGGGTTTTGAATATTGTCAGAGAACATTTGGATCTTCAGTAGTCCACCTTTTCCATCATACTTGATCTAAAGATCAATATCACTAGCTGGCCGAGCAATATTCAATCGCCAATGGTGCTGATTAACTGGGTCCTTTTGGTACAGATTCACTTCGAAAAATTTGTTGTGCGTTATGCACTTGAAGTTCTTGTACCTATGTTCAATGAGCTTTCTGCGCTTTTCCATAGATATTTAGATATTCATTGAACGTACGAATTGAGCTTCTGGAAATTCGCAGCGATCAAATCTTGCTCGGTAATCTCCAAGAATTCAACCCGACCCCCACTTAGTTCGGAGTGAGGGATGAAATATCTTTTGGCCTCGATAGCACCAAAATTGACTTGTCGAACAAACTGAATCGCGTAAGGTGGTAGATTATCAGGATCCTGGAAGAACGAAGCTGAAGCGGCAGAGGGGGTTGATTCAGATCCTTTGGCCCAAGTAATAAATGGGCCAAACTTGGCCTCGTGCGTTAGATGGGCCGGTCGATAAGGAGATGGAGAAGCGCAACAAAAAATGGAAGACATTGTTAAAGAGTGGTTACTTAGTCGTTATATTGGTCGTTAAATGATCATGAAAGCATTTCTGTTCTAGGGAAATGGTCGTCTTTATATACATTTTAAGTTGGTTTTATCGACTTGAATACTAACGGTCTTTAATCTAAGGACATTGGTTTTAGAGGAAATCGTAGCAACCTAGACATAAAGTGACGATCACATGCATATTCTAGTCCGGAAATTTGTCAGTTGATATCGTATTCTGCGGGTTGATCATTCAATCATAATTCTTCATTTTGAGGCCGCCTTCTGGTCGGCTCTGTCGATACCCAATCTATATATTCCCAAACTGAAGGTTTCTAGGCCGATAGTGGAACTGCAACTCGATAGTCTAGCCGGCTTGCGACATGGCCGTCCCTCGCCAATTAGAACACTGTATTTTGAGGCCCCCCTCGCACGGTCCCTCTGCTGACTGAGACCTTAGGCCTGCCAAGTGATGCCCGTATAGGTAGTTGCTAGACTATTAGAGGTACATATCTGAGACTAGTCGATCAATTTCAATATGCCATTCGAAAAGTATAAAGGGCTGCAGATTGCCTATCCTATTGCTCTTTTTTCTCTTTTTCTTCCTTAGGGGCAGCGGGTCTGTTCTTCGCTCTTTACTTCACCCGCTGCCACTGCCACTCCTTTTCGGCGCCTTTGAATTTGCTTTTTGATTATCTCCTTCATTCGTTCATTGAAAAGAATAGTTTTCTCTGTGTTGCTCTAATTGAGAGGCTGGACTTCCAATCTGTGGTCAATCTGTATACTGGGGTTGTAAAAGGGTGAAGCTACTTATTCCACCTTTTTCCGCGGCGAGTACACATACCAGAACCTCCACCAAAAGTCACCGACCGACAGTCCAATCTTCTTAAACAACAACAACTACTACTTTTTCTGAACTCTGGACTTGTCGATCCAGCGTGGCTACACTTGTCGGACACTACTGGTCCCCGTGCATCTCCCGTTTTCACACCCCAACCCCGGTTTCCTGATACTACAACACATGATGGAAAGCAACATCAGCAGCAAGTCACCTTACAGCAACCAGAAGAATATTCTCAAGATGAGCAAATAGAAGAAGAAGGTTGTGTTTCGGACGTGGTTTCTACCTCATCAAAATCTGAGCGGCATACCTCATCGTCCGTGGCAGCCAACGTCTCTTCGCTACAGTGTGAACACTGCCAGAAGGAATGTCGAACCCGTGGATCGCTAAAGTATGTTTTGTTCTTATGGAAATACTTCACTATACTCCCAACACTATTCTAATGATACAAAAGCAAGCACACAAAATCACACTCACGTCACTTCAAGTGTACCATAGACGCATGCACCTGGGAATTTGCAGCCCGAAAAGACCTCATGCGACACAAGCAAACAAGACATAAGGCTAGTGGACGTGTTATGGTGTATTGTCGTTATCCAGGCTGCCATTATTCTGCGAACGGAAGGAAAGGGCGAATGCGACAAGATAATCTCCAGCGCCATATTAAAGCCAAGCACCGACTAGAAGCTGGATTTTGACACTTGGGTCAGTTCAGACATTTACTTTTATGTGGGTAGCGTTCAGATAAGATCCTTGATACAGGCAATTCCAGCTCGAACATACTCTTTATGAAGTCAACCTATAACCGCCCTCTATTCATCTCTTATAATTGACAGAGACGAGCGCATCTTCATTTTTTTTTCTGTAGTAGTCTGGCTAGTTTAGTATGTAATGGCTTGAGGCTTGGGGAGGAAATAGGGTGTTCAATGATATGACTCGGATATGTAACACATGGTTTGTTTACGTTGATTTGGTATACCCGACTGCTGCTCGAAATCTTTTTGCATTAGTCGTAACGCAATCACTACTTGTATCACGAAACCTTCTCCAACGATAGTCTACGTGCCGTGCTCTCTCTTGAGGTCGCTACTGACATGGATGTTGGATCTCAACCTTCTGTCCATGATCAACTTTTTGAATTTACAGTATCGCAGTGCATAGCGACCACTGGGGACTTTGGTCCTATTGACTTTTAGGAATCATCAGCCGGCTTTCGACCGGGGAAAACTGCGTTTTTACATGTACACTTGATACTGAATAAAAGCTTGCTAATGGTAGAATCGAGGAAAGTGACCAACAAATGGAAAACATTGATGTACTCCTTGGTCTAATGATAATAATAATGTGGACGATCCTCAAAAGTTTCCCACCCACGCCAATACCGATTCGGCAACTTTTGATATCTAAAGGCCATCAAATCTCCTTTTTTGTTTCTGTTAAACGAGAATTGCTCTTGATGACTCCGGCGATGCGCCAAAAGATCCATTGGAGTCTCCCCATCCGAATTGCGGCTATTCCAATCCGCTCCATGAGCAAGAAGCAAGTTGAGCACTTCCCGTGCCGATGTTAGTACTGCGAGGTGGAGAGGTGTGTTGTCGTCGGCGTTCTTTGCACCGATATCTGCTCCATGCTTCAATAGCAATTCGATGGTTCCAACCATCGCCTTGGATGCACCGTATGTCATGGCATGCAGCGGTGTTTGACCATAAGAATCCACAACATTCACATCCGCTCCATGGTCCAGAATAAGCTTCACTAGGCGCTCGTTGTCGGTTTTGTAAAGAGGTGTCTGTTCTTCCCAATTTCCAATGCTCCCATCGGCTCCATAGCTCAAAAGGTGCTTTACCGATTTGTGAATGAATGAAACACAGGTTTCATAATCAGGTTCCTCAGTTTTGCGTTCAGATGTTGGGTGTCCAAACCGGCCGAGTCCATTTAATTCATCTTCATCAGAATTGAATTCATATGGGTTTGATCTATCCGAGATGGGCGACTGAAGTGGATTTGGTCCAGAGGCAGTTCGGTATTTGATATTGGCATCAAGATCCAATAGCTGCTCCATCAACTCAGCCCTGTCTTCGGAAGTCTCTTTTATTCCCCAACCATCGATTTTGGCTAGTGTAAGTCCGCAAGCAGCGAGTAGTTCTATCAAGCCCTTTTTGTTGTTTTTGTTTAGAACAGTCGTCCCGATGTAATCCCGTACACTGGAATCTGCTCCGTGATCAACAAGAAGGTTTGCTGTTTCTTCGTTGGCGAACGAACACCAGTTCGAGGTTTCAACGAACCCATGAAGCACGTCTTTGCTGCTCACCCTCGCACCGCGTTCGATAAGCAGCTTCAAAATTCCGTTGGCGAACGAGCTACACTTGAACAGTGCAAGCAATAACGGCATGTCCGAAGAGAATTGAGACCCGATATAATTGCAGTGGGCACCGAGATCAAGAAGTAGCTTCACAGTCGCATAATGGTCTGTAAGTGACTTTTTCTTGGATTCAGAGCAAATATCTTGCTTCGTGCAAGAGCAATATCTCTCGTTGTACCAATAATCTTCCTCTCCTAACGCGTAGGACAAAACTGTGTCGTAATAATCAGGTGGTCGTATGGAGTTAGAGTCGAGATCAAGCAGCATTTTTGTGATAGAAAAATAGCCACTGTGAGCAGCGGAATACAGTGCACGGTGAACAGATTCCACAGTGAGACTTGGAATCTCGACCTTCATTTGAGTAAGGTGTGCGAAAAGGGCCTCCGCTATGTCCTCATGGCCTTTCAGAACAGCCCAGTACAAGTTTGAGCTACTCCAGTACTGTTCAGGTGTGCGACCACGGTACCGTGGTCGCTTTCGTTGATCTTTAGTGTCATAACCGATGCACTCGATATCTGCATTCATCGAAAGTAGCAGTCGGGTTCCACGCACATCGCCAGCTTTAGCACACTCCGTTAGACCTTCTTGAAGCTCACAATTATCTCGTTGGTGGCAGTGCCATGAAAGAGGTTGACAAAGGTCCTGGTGACATTCTAGGAGACAGATGACATCTCGGACGCACATGCCTGAGGCAATTTGGCATAGTAACTCATTTGGCAACGAAAGAAGGGACGCCATGTCGAAAAGTCGCATCAGATGATACTATGAAAGAAGGAATAAGAGAAGAAAGAGAAGAAAGAGATGGGAGGAAATAGAAAAGAAAAAGAATGGCAAATGTAGAAAGTGAAGAAAGTGCGTGTCACCATCTTTCTTCATGTATCCGTGGATTCCATGGATGCCTATGGTTTGATGCCTTGGATTTTAAAAATGCCCTGGAGGCATCCACCTCTTATCTGCTCAATTCTCGATTCCAATTCTCTGCCACAGAGATTTCGTACTTCTTGTAACTGCTACACCCAAGTATCTGAATGTATGCTCTCCTTTTCGCCCCCTTCAACACGGCTTGAGCATCACACATAATCACATTAGCAAGAGGTATTATGAGGTCAAACCAAACTCTAATACACTAGGTGCACTCCGACTTCAGTTTCGAACGTCCGTTGGCAGATTCGGCGAATCAGAGGTGACGACACTTTGAAACAATGCTCTGGCCAGAACCACAGCTGTAGTACGCAGCGCATAGGACCATGTCAGCAGAAAATGGGGATTTCTAACTTATTATAGCGTAATAATTGATTGAATAAACACTTCTACTCACACAGATACTATATACCAAAAAGCTGCCTTTAACCCCATTCTACGGTTTGCGAATTATCTAGGCATATAAAAAGTCATCTAAAAGGGAATTCAAAAGACTTCTAAAAAGACATGTAAAAGGACATCGTAGTGGAATCTAATTATAATATCTATAATATCATCTTGACTTGACATTACGTTGTGCGCTATATCCTCAAGGCCATATAAGCGGCCGCGTATTCTACTTCTATATAAATGACTAACTCACTATAAATCTGTATAAACTTCTAGTCAGGTCGATAATAACAATTGAGGTAGTAATTACTTCCAATAAGGAGACACAAGCGATTCCCCCGCATCTTCACGGCCCTTGCAACCCTGGAAAATTGCCTAATCGGACATTTGATCTCCCAAAATATCCACCAATCCCAGCAGAGTACGGGGTATCTCTATAGCGAGAACCGAAGCGTACACCCATTATAACAAGTAATATTCCAAGATGGAGGGTACCTACACAGCACCCGACAATGCGTCTTCTCGCGTTTCTTCCCGTCCTCCTTGGACTTATATCCAGCCATTTCGTCTCTGCGACAGATAATGGCAAGACTACTGATGTGACATGGGATAAATACAGCCTCTCAGTCAAGGGAGAGAGGGTATATGTGTTCTCGGGTGAATTCCATTACCAGCGACTCCCCGTGCCTGAGCTATGGCTCGATGTGTTTCAGAAGCTACGCGCAAATGGATTTAATGCGGTCTCTAGTGAGTGAATTGACAATAACCCCTAGGCTGCACTGGTACTCATTTCAATTAGTCTACTTCTTCTGGAGTTTCCACTCTGCATCCGAAGATACTTTCGACTTCGAGAACGGCGCCCATGACGTCCAGCGCGTTTTTGATTATGCCAAGCAGGCAGGTCTGTATGTGATCGCGCGCGCAGGACCTTACTGCAATGCCGAGACCTCTGCTGGTGGTTTTGCACTGTGGGCATCCAATGGTCAAATGGGCAGCACACGCACGAGCGCAAGCTCCTACTATGACCGATGGTATCCGTGGATCCAGAAGATTGGAAAGATCATCGCCGCAAACCAAATCACAAGTGGTGGTCCGGTCATTCTCAACCAGCACGAGAATGAGTTGCAGGAGACAACTCACAGTTCCGATAACACTGTTGTCAAGTACATGGAACAAGTCAAAGCCGCCTTCAGTGATGCTGGCATCGTTGTCCCGAGTTCGCATAACGAGAAGGGAATGCGCTCTATGAGCTGGTCGACAGACTACCAGGATGTGGGCGGTGCCGTCAACATCTATGGTCTGGACTCCTATCCTGGTGGTCTGTCCTGCACCAACCCGGATACTGGCTTCAATCTCGTCCGTACTTATTACCAGTGGTTCCAAAATTACTCCAGTTCTCAGCCTGAGTACCTGCCAGAGTTTGAGGGCGGTTGGTTCTCTGCCTGGGGAGGTACTTTCTACGATCAGTGTTCTACTGAGCTTTCGCCTGAATTCGCCGACGTCTACTATAAGAATAACATCGGCTCCAGAGTCACATTGCAGAATATCTATATGGTTATGGGAGCAACTTCTTGGGGACAAAGTGCTGCTCCGGTTGTCTACACTTCATATGACTACTCTGCGCCTATGCGAGAGACCCGTGAGATTCGGGACAAGCTCAAGCAGACCAAGTTGATTGGTCTGTTTACTCGTGTGTCATCTGGTCTTCTTCAAACGCAAATGGAAGGGAATGGAACGGGGTATACTAGTGATGCTAGTATCTATACCTGGGCCTTGCGAAATCCAGAAACTCATGCCGGTTTCTATGTTCTAGCACACTCTACCAGCTCCTCTCGTGCTGTGACTACTACTTCTCTCAATGTCAACACCTCGGCTGGTATGTACTCAGTGTTTTGAGAAGAAGAATTGCGCTAACTTAGAGTCTACACAATAGGGGCCATCACAATTCCCAATATTGAGTTGGCCGGCCGTCAGAGCAAAATTATAGTCACCGACTACCAGATCGGCGAGGGCTCGAGCTTACTCTATTCATCTGCCGAGGTTTTGACCTACGCCACCCTCGATGTGGATGTCATTGTTTTCTATCTGAATATCGGACAGAAAGGAGAGTTTGTCTTCAAAGATGCACCGACCGATCTGACTTTCAAGACATACGGCGATTCGAAAGTGAGCTCCGCCGCATCGGATCATGGCACCAAATATACATACACTCAAGGGGATGGCACGACAGTCCTGAAATTCTCGCACGGTGTACTAGTCTATCTTCTCGATAAAGAAACGGCGTGGAACTTCTTTGCAGTACCGACTACTTCCAATCCGCTTGTGGCTCCTAGTGAGCAGATCATTGCTCTTGGGCCATATCTCGTCCGCACAGCAACTGTCAGCGGGAACACCGTCAGTCTTGTCGGTGATAACGCAAACACAACCTCTCTTGAGTAAGTGCGATATTAACTCTCAAATCAGTTGTTAGCTAATATGTGATGCTAGGGTCTACACGGGCAACTCAAAGGTTAACAAGATCAAGTGGAATGGCAAGGAGATTTCAACGAAGAAGACAGCCTACGGCAGCTTAATCGGATCAGCTCCGGGAGCCCAACATTCCAAGGTATCACTGCCAACTCTGAAATCATGGAAAGCGCAAGATACACTTCCAGAGATCAAGCCAGGCTATGATGATTCCCGCTGGACAATCTGCAACAAAACGACCTCAGTCAACTCCGTCGCACCACTAACACTTCCCGTGCTTTACTCTGGCGACTACGGCTACCATGCCGGAGCGAAGATCTACCGCGGACGGTTCGACGGCGTGACCGCGACAGGCGCAAATCTCACAGTCCAGAACGGCGTGGCCGCTGGCTGGGCTGCCTGGTTAAACGGAGTCTATGTCGGCGGAGACATTGGGGATCCCGCCCTAACCGCGACATCAGCCGAGCTATTATTCAACAGCTCTACCTTGCACGAGAGGGACAATGTTCTGACCGTTGTCATGGATTACACAGGCCACGACGAGGCAAACGTAAAACCGAACGGGGCGCAAAACCCGCGTGGTATACTAGGCGCTACGCTTCTTGGCGGCGATTTCACATCCTGGCGCATCCAAGGCAACGCAGGAGGCGAAGCCAACATCGACCCCGTGCGCGGACCCATGAACGAAGGAGGTCTGTACGGAGAGCGTCTTGGTTGGCATCTCCCCGGATACAAAGCGTCCAAGACGGCGACATCAGACAGTCCTCTAGAGGGTGTATCTGGCGCAGCAGGCCGATTCTACACGACGACCTTCAAGCTGGACCTGGATTCCGACCTGGACGTTCCGATTGGCCTGCAGGTCGGTGCATCTGCTGATTCCCCCGCAGTAGTCCAGATCTTCATGAATGGGTACCAGTTCGGTCATTACCTGCCACACATCGGACCCCAGACTAGGTTCCCTTTCCCGCCCGGGGTGATTAACAACCGTGGGGAGAATACGTTGGCGATTAGTTTGTGGGCGCTGACGGAGCAGGGGGCGAGACTGAGTCAGGTGGATCTGGTTGCATATGGGGCTTATCGCACTGGATTCAACTTCAATCACGATTGGTCATACCTGCAGCCAAAATGGAAGAACAACCGGGGACAATATGTTTAGTTGATAAAGGTATTGACTATGGTGTTTTATGACACATTATTCTGCCCGCGGTTGTTCATCACATTGAACTGAGATCTTCCGTTGGGTTCTTGGGGCTTTTCCGGGGCCTAGACCTTCCCTAGTTCTTTGTTTAGCTCCGGTACCTGTTTCATCATCGCTTATTATATGGAACCCTACTTCCTTGTTTTTTTTTTGTTACATCAGACTTGTGTACTTGAAGTACTAAGAAGTCTACCTAGGTAAAACAGACACTAAGCCATACCCCCGTCAATTTCTCTACAAGTGTATACAAAAGGACATTAGAAGAGATACTAAAAACACCTGTCTCTACTGTATATAGTCGGCTCTTTTATAACACACCAAGACACACAAAGTCACCAAGTCACCAATAAATGCCCATAACCAATGACAATTGACTAAATTGTAACTCCTAAAGCCAAACAAAAATTGTTCATTGTCCAGGCGACTATCGGCCAAAACGCGATGTCTGCCCAACGTCCGTGTCCACCGCCATTTGTACTTCTCCACACGTTTAAACACGTTGACGTTCCTCCTTCTCACCTCTAAACAATATTCTTTTGTTTATATTTCTTTATATTTCCCTAATATCTAATTTATCATGTCGCGCCATAACAGCGTGGATCTAGACTCTCCCGATCGGCCATTCGACAACATCATCAATTTCCGCGATGTCGGCCGGTCGGTTAATCAATTTTGTCGCAAAGAGTGAGTTGGACGCGTCTTTGAACACGATCTTGACATATCCAAATCTCTTTAAATACACAAACTAACAATGCACACAGGATCTTGAAAGAAGGCGTGTTCTTTCGCAGCGCGAGGGTAATTCCAACCCCGCTCAATGATGACTCCGATGCATTGATGCGTTGTCAGAATAAGCAAAAAGAAAACGAAAAACTAATTGAAATTTCCAGCTCGACGATGCTTCAGAACGAGATAAACGTCGTCTAGCAGAAGAACTACACATTCACACCGTCATCGATCTCCGTTCCCAGTATGTCAACACCAAATCACTAAAAAAAAATAAAGCCGAATCTAGAAACTAATACACCAACAGAACAGAACACCAAATGGGCACACGTAAACGTCGAAACGAAAATGCCAAATCAGATCAATCAGAAAAATCACCATTACCGACAGACCCAATCCCAACAAACCCAGACGAACACCTCCTCCAAATCCCCGGCTCAGAACGAGCTCTAATAAGCCTAACAGGCAAAGGCTTCGAACGCGCCTTATTATCGAAATTGGACTGGTATACATATCTGTAAGTGTCCTCCCTCTTCCCCCCATCCATCTATGCATACATAGCATCACCATTACCCTACATATAAACAACCAACTAACACAACCCAGCAAAATAATCGGCCTTGTAACAACCGGCTATCGCAGCGATGCGGTTCGTCTAGTCTGCGGGTCGGTAATGCAACCGCGCGGCCTAACAGGCTTAGCCCAAGACACGCTCGATTCAAGCATGGGCGAGATCCGGGCCGTATTCGAGATCCTGGCTTGCGAGGACTCATACCCAACATTAGTGCACTGCACGCAGGGAAAAGACCGGACGGGTCTTGTTGTGTTGCTTATGTTGCTTCTTGTTGGTGTGGTGCCGGTTGATGCGATTGTTGATGATTACAGTCGCTCGGAGCTGGAGCTTGTGTCGGAGTTTGAGGAACGCATGGAGGAGATTAGGGCTATTGGACTTGGGGAGGATTATACGCGTTGTCCGCCTGGTTTTGTTAGTAATACGACTGAGTATCTTGAGAACAGGTATGGGGGTGTGAGGGGGTATTTGGAGAGGGTTGGGGTTGGGTTTGAGATGCAGGAGAGGGTTAGGGGGAAGTTTTTGGTTTGAGGGTTCTTTGGGGGGCTGGGTTGGGATTTGGATCTGGATATATGGAGGGATGGATTTTTGTTTTCATATGGGATATGTAGATACGATAATGACCTTGGCATTGGGATGGGTCTAGCGTTTTCTGTTATATGCATGGAATTTGGATGCGAGATACTGAATGGTGGAGGATTGCATGTTTTCGTTTCATGTCTAGTGAACAGATTGAGAGAAAGAAGCCTAGGAAACATCCAATAGAAACGTTGAGTTATTGAATTGCTATAACGACTAAATATGTAATCTAAGGTCAACATATTGGCTCTAAGTGTATGCCCAACTTCCGAAAAACACCATATATAAGAGTATCCATGACAGGTATCAAAAAAGCATTAACAAAAGCAGAGTATCCGATGACATCGTGCAGGTCGTATAAGTAAATACAGGAATATAAGAATTCAGAAAGCAAAGGAAATTAGTTAGACCCGCTGGCCGCGGTAAAAGCCGGTGTTCGGGCCCATCGAGTCATGGGTCAGCGGCTCTTCGATGGAGACACCCTCTGAACGGGTACCCTCGTTCATGAGGTACTTCTCACCCTGGGGCACGTGGTTTCGGGTGCGCACGGAAGGCAATAGATCGACGACGAAGGAGAGAACGTAGCCAGTGAATGCGAAAGCAATGGTCCACTCGAGAACTGCGCCGGGGTTTTGCTTCGACGACTTCCCGCCACCAATGCAAACACCGAAGCCGATGGCGAGTGCGAGCTCGACGATGACGAAGACAAGCTTGATAAAGAAACTGACGAGCAAAACACGGTGCTCGCGACGGTAGAAGATTCCGATGCGGAGGTACTCGATGCAAACCAAAACGGCACTAATCACGTATCCAGCACTGGAGAGAAATTGATTGGTCAGTTGGCTGTTGGCTGCATAGTTCCAAGAGTGGGCAGAACTCACATGAACAGGGCGATGAACCCGTCGTGCAGATTCGGGTGACGGAGTGTATCAAAGATAGAGAGCAGAATCAGACCGGCAGCACCGGCAACCGCGAAGAAGATTGAACCAATAGCGCATGCCTTGTCCAATCTACCCTTATTCGAGGCCAATTGGTTGGAGTGTCGAAGCCATCGCTCGGAGAGGAATGCTAAATCGAGAAAGACGACGGTGACCACGCTGCCTGCGACGAACAACGGCTTCAAGCCTTGCGCTCCGACATCTGAAATGTACCTATAACAGTCTTGTTAGCGCATGGATGGGCATTAGTAATGGTGGAGAGAAAACATACGCAATCGTCTGTCCTTGAGACATACTGGCGTAGTGTGGTCTTCCATCTTGGATCCAGATGACCAGCATGGCGATCAACATTGCTAGAACCGTGTTAGCTGCAGTCCAGAACAAGATATCCAGTTCAGTGCAGGGATGTCTTACAAACCCACATGCAGGCTGACACCAGCGGAAACATCCAAAACGATATAATCCACATCTTTGCGACTTTTGAGTTGTACTTCGAGACCGATTTTGATGTGATGGAAGGTATGTGGGGTGTTTGTATGTCTGCTAAAACCCAGTTCAAAGAGAGTGGGAGATTGAAAGAACCGCAAAATGAACGAGAGCCTATAGGATCCTGTTAGTCGCAGCTTCTCCAAGCGATGTCTGTGATTTCCATATAGGATGGAAAGAAGGTGTGGATTCCAGGTGTATTCCTCAATCGTGCCACTCACCTATATCCCTGTATTTATGTGCAATGTTTCAAAGGAATATGTACATTCCAGGTTCAAAGGAGTCTAAAGGGGGCGACAGCCCTGGAGTGGCGCTTAGATGACAAAGGGATGTCAAATTTCAAATTGGAACCGGGACAATGATGATGCGCAAGGGGAATTTTTGTTTTTTTGGGTATACCCAGTGGGGTACTAGATACCTTGAAAGGAGAAGCAGATGGAGAAGAAAGAAAGATTTCGAGAGATTATTATTTTCGATAGACGCCCCTAAGGCCCTGGAGATTATGGAGATTATCAATTATCAATCATCAATCTACGTCATCTTCAGTGCCAAGGCAGAAAAATTGTGTTGCCACACAGCCTAGTTTAAATGATCAGCCTGAATATTTACTCCAATAGTTAATATTGTACTGTAGTTATATTAGCATACCTAGGTACCTCATGATACTATTAATATTTGATACTTTCCATGTACAACTGTTGTATTATGACTGCCTGTTCCTAGGTTGTCCAAGATCTACGGGTAGACCGGGTGGCTGAATACTTGGCAGGTCCTTCAAGGTTTGGAGGCTGAGCGAATACGTATGTAGTAATACAACTCGTGGTCACATGTTCAGGCGCTTTTAGCCTGCATTCACCATGAGGTCCACTTATATCAAACTATTAAACTTCAAGATATTCCAAGCCCTACAAAGATCTACATCAAATAAAAAGTGGAAATAATATGTGTATGCTTGCAGCCCGGTCTACCGGTCTACCTAAAAACGCCGTCGCGGTACGGAAAGACCGCAATGATGGAATCGAAAAACAGTAAAGCAGAAAAGAAAAAAACCCCGGACCGAAAGTAATTTTTTAGATATCAGGACAACCCTGAGAGACACGTCATCTTCATCGACTGGTCCGTTTACGAGTGGTTCCGGTAACCGGCCGCCTCTGCGCAACTGCAACTGGCGGGGCCTTGCGCTCCGCCACCTTGGCCACCTTGACGATCTGCACTTCATCTTCGCTGCTCTCCGATTCTTCACTGGATTCCTCAGTCCCCAACTTGGATGGAGCTAGAGCTGGAGCTGGAGCAAGGTCGCCCCGGGTCTGTGGTGTGCCTTGCGGTGGGCGTTTGCCAGGAGATTGAGATTGGTAAACTGGGTATGGAGGGCCTGAAGGGTAACTCATTCGACTCTGCTGTCCGACCCGAGGATCGGTAGGAACCTGCGTTTGATATGGCGCGGGTTCCCCGTATGGGCTCATCTGCATTGTATTGTAGTAGGGTGGGGCCCATTGAGGATCGTCTGGTAGTGGCCGTTGGAACACAGGCGCTTGTTGCATCGACTGTGGTCGGCCATTGGGCGCAAAGCGCTCGGGTGTGTATGGCGGGTAGGGAGGTCGAAGAGGGGAATTGGACTGCTGGGGACGAAGAGATTGTGTCGTTGGAGTCCGGGGCCGGGGAGCAGAAGATGAGCTGGACGGTCGACTATTCGCGCCCGTCCCACGAGCCCAGGTGCTGTGTGGATCAGGGGCAAAGGCCGGATACGCGCCGGGCAGCTGTTCTGGCGCACCAACTGCTCCGCTCCGTCGGGACGATGGGCGCCGGCTTCCACTTAAACCGTCCGTCTGCTGGCGCTTGCGCTCCAAGGCATCCAGTTCGCGTTTCGACAGCCGGACGTTTTTCTTTCCCAGAACTTGGGCGCGGCGAATTCGCTCGAGCGCTGTGTCCACCAATTGATCCTCCTTGTCCCGCATGGCCAGTTGAATCGCATAGGCCACCGTGCTATCCTCATGGTCGTATAGATCGAAGTCTCCCCCATCAACCGATTCAGATTCATCTGACAGGTCCTCATAATCCACAGGTCGCCTCCGCGGCCCTCGTCCTCCATACTCCAGCTGCCTGTATCGACCGCTCCGCACCAACTCCCGCCCGTATGCATCCTCCTCACTATCCACCTCCTCCAGTCGAGTCTCCTCCCACGCCGCGCGTCCCCTATTATTTCTCCCCGTTCGTGCCCCCGGTGGTCTTCCCCATGAGGGCATATCAAAAGGAGCTCGCGGCCGACCACCTAGACCGCCTCCTCGGAAAAAGCATTCTCGATCGGCTTATCCAAAAATGCAGCGTGGCCGAAAACGGTCACGCCAGTAGCGCCAATCAACCACAGGGCAGTCGTGAGGGGGGAGGCCCAGATGCCGATGGGGACACCGATGATGAGTAGTCCGGTGTAAAGCTGCGAAGTGGTGAAGCGAGAGAAGCCCAGATCCAGATCCCGACCTTGCAGCATGTTGATTCCGTAGAGACCACAGCTCACAAAGATCATGTCGAACAGCAGCACCAAGTTGGTCAGCAAGCTGTAGATGCTGAGCATCACAAACACGACGGCATAGTTGCTGGAGAAGTAGGACAGGTTGTAGTTGACTCGGCTCTGGGCTTCACCGAAGTTGGCTGGCTTGGATATGCGCTTGATGTCGAGGAACTCGGAAATCGGGCGCAGGTTGGCGAAGCGCGTGCTCAAAGAGGTGCTACGGAGGTTGTTGAAGCGATCGCCAAAACGCGAAGTGATCGCATCAATTGGAATAGAGACCATTTTGAATGAAGAAGAGGTTGAGAAGGGGGGAAAAAAAATATAAAAGTTGAAAATGGGACAGGTAATAAAGTGATGTAGAGTGGATAGAGAGCAAAGAGTGCCGGAAACAACACGTCGGAGAGAGGCAGTCACTTTTCTTTTTTGGGACTTTTCCCCTTTCGTTAGTCAGAGCCGGTCTTGGTTTCACCCAAGCTATCAAGTAATAAGATGTGAAATATAGTAGAGCAATTAGGTAGAAACAAAACAATCTCCTAATAATAGTAACCGGGTCCCTGAGGTCATCCAGTTCCTGGATCCCTGGGCAACTCCCTAGGAGTTCTTCAGGCCTGAAAGGAAACAGAAGAAAGACTACACCTAGAATCTAGATCTCTCTCTATATATACCCATTTACGGGAGTACGCTCAGATGCAATAATTCATGCAGAGCCCAACTGTATTTCCCCTCAAAAGCAAAAAATAAAACAGTCACAGTAAAAAAACACCCAAGTCGATTGGGGCCACGTTGGGTTCTTTGCAGTGGATAAACGCCCGACCGCTTTTTTCCCTACATGTCCTCCACTAACACACAGCTTATTCGTTCATTTCTATACTTCTCTCGTTTCTGGCTTCTGCGGCATTGACCGCTATCATCATGAAGCCATTTGCCTTTCTATCGCTCTTCGTCTTCTTCGGCCTCGTCGCTGCTTGGTCCAAAGAAGGTGGGTATTGTTTACCCCGGACAAATCCTTCCCTACTGACCTCCAACAGACTATGAGATTTTTGGTTTACAAAATGATGTGGCCACAAATGAAGGTGCCAATGTGACCTTCTACGGTATGTGATGTCTCCCTAGCACTGCCATGAGCTTTCTTTCCTTTATGTCTTCATTTTTATTTCCATCATTTTCAGGGATACGTATCTAACTTCTATACCCGGCCCACTGCAGACCTCCTCGAGATCCGTCCCAATGCCAATCAGGAACAAATCACCAAGGCCTACCGCAAGAAGTCGAGAACCATCCACCCGGACAAGGTCAAGCGCGCCTTCATCGCCAACTACGCCAAGGACAAGAGCAAGGCCAAGTCCAATCAGGGGGTCAATGTCAACAAGGGTCCTACTCAGCGCGAGATTGACGCCGCAGTCAAGAACGCCGACGCCCGCTCTGCCCGTCTGAACCTCGTCGCCAACGTCCTGCGCGGCCCGAACCGTCAGCGTTACGACCACTTCCTCAAGAATGGCTTCCCCCTGTGGAAGGGTACCGGATACTACTACTCGCGCTTCCGTCCTGGTCTGGGCTCCGTGCTGGCGGGTCTGTTCCTAGTTTTCGGCGGTGGTGCTCACTACGCCGCGCTGGTCCTTAGCTGGAAGCGGCAGCGCGAGTTTGTGGATCGCTACATTCGCCAGGCACGCAGAGCCGCCTGGGGCGATGAAACGGGTGTTCGTGGTATCCCCGGAATCGACTCGGTCGCAGCAGCGCCTCCCCCTCCTGCCCCTGAATCCGGTGACGCCGGTGCCATGGCTGTCAACCGTCGCCAGAAGCGCATGATGGATAAGGAGAACAAGAAGGATAAGAAGGGAGGAGGAGCCCGTGTCAGCTCTCGTGCCTCTGGTACCTCCACCCCCACTGAGCAGCCTGCCAGCACTGGTGAGCGGAAGCGCGTCGTTGCTGAGAATGGAAAGACATTGATTGTCGATTCTATTGGCAATGTGTTTTTGGAAGAGCAGAACGAGGCTGGCGAGCGCCAGGAGTTCCTGCTCGACCTTGATCAAATTGCGCGCCCTACTCTCCGTGAGACAATGGTGTGCAAGCTTCCCATCTGGTGCTTCAACAAGACTGTTGGTCGGGTGTTGGGTACTTCCACCGAGGAAGAAGTGGATTCTGATGAGGCTGAGGAGCCCCTGGTTGACGAAGCTGAGACCACTGCCATCTCAAACTCCCGCTCTCGGAAGCGTGGCAAGCGCTCCCAGCGATCATAGACTTGGACAGCTGTATTGCTGCACCTCGGGCGTTTGTCGTTACTTTCTCTGCCCGGGCTGATCACAAAAGTTCCCCAAGGTTGCTTTACTATAGAATTCCTGCTCGGATGTTGGCAATACCGAAGTAGAAACCAAAATGTACACATAATCTTTTTTTTCTCATGTCCAATACTTCAAGACAAAATGATGGAGATCAGCTACTGGTCATCGATACACCATGCACGGTCTACCGTTGCAGTATGATATATGTTGCCTCCTTGCAGATCTATTTCATACGTTTAGGACTACGGAGTATACCCGTAAAGATCGGTCTGCCAGGAATATCTGTACTCCATATCTTGTTTGGCAGGTTTGTAGGCGGGTCTGCCATAGGGCCAGTGCACTTCCTCATGACACAACTAGTGCGGTGTACAGCTGTCCGACACCGTCATATCCACCAGCTTGGGCACCAAAACTTGACCAATTTAGTATAAATAGGAGACTTGAACGGATCTCTAGACTTGTTTCGAATTTTCAGATGTTCCATTGCTGATACAAAAGAACAACTTTTCCAAATAAATCAAATCTATCGAATCCAGACGGACCTCCCAATTCATGACAACATCGAAAAGAGCAAAATCCAACGACAAAAAAAGAGCGTGAGTATAAAAGCACAAAAATGAGCAAAGGACAGTAGGTGTATAATCATGATCATCATATATTGAATTTCAGCAAAGCATCGCAAATCGTGGAAAAAAAGGACCTCAGACTCGAACAGAACAGCCTAACCAACCCGGAGGGGCATCACCTACGCAAACATCTTGGCAATGTTCATGAGACTGCTAATGTTCTCCGACATACCCCTACCACCACCACCACCACCACCACCACCACCACCCATACCCTCGAAACCACCAGCACCACGAGGCTTCGACGCACCACCAAGGGCACTGGTAACAGCATGCGGCAAGCGAATGCCAATCATAGCAAGCAGCTTCGGCAGCACACCGCTAGTCAGGAGCGGCACAATAACCATCATAAAGACCTTCATGGGGTTTCGACGGGCCCAGCGATAGATATCGCGGAAGAGACGCTTGATGTCGCGGAGCATGCGCTGGACAAATCCCTCACGGGGACGGGCCCGTCGCGACGAAGACGAGAACGACGAGAACACAGATGGGCTTGATCGGCCTCCTGCTCGACTGCCGCCGAACCCGCCAAAGAAAGATGGCGCTGAGTGTCGCGTATGGTGCGTGGAGGAGTAGCCGGATTTGCTGCGTCTGCTGTGTGTGCTGTGCGAGCTGGGTGTTGGTGAGGACCGTCGTCGCACGTATCCTGAGGATGAAACGGCGCTGGATTTACCGTCGAACCAACCCATTGTGTTGGTGGGGATGCTGATGCTGGAGCTGGTTACGGGTGTAATTCTGCGCAACTTGGGGCCAGAACGGTGGATGAGGTGTCTGGTCTGAATGACGGTTTGTGTGTTAGGAGAGGGATTGTGGTAGGTTGGTACACAGAAGAAGGCAGTTTTGAGATGCTGCTGCGTAACAATGCCCCTGATGATCTCTTTGAACCTTTTTTTTTTTTGTTCTGTGTGGCAATTGAAAGAGTGAAAAGAGACAGATGCAAGTCAGCCACTAGCTGCTGCGGAGATGCGCGATGTGAGGTCTAGGCCGATGTGTGCACCCGCTTTGCGGATTTTCTATGCAGGAAATCTCTTTTGACAGCTGGCACAATTGAGATTCTAAGAGGGGTTCGTGAATAACGCTGGATGCTAATTTCAGACGAATCAAAGGGGATCTTCAGATTGGATTGACCAGTCACCCCCCTGGCGGAATAAAGGTGGCTGGGGGGTGGCCGGCTAAACTTAGTCGTAAACCGCATTTTTCCTAGACAAAGTCAGAGACAAAGTACCCCAGATAGTCGAGCAATCCAATCTTGATATAATAATCATTCAAAATTATCTTGGAATATATAGTACATATGTACTGTTGTCCCTGTCCACTGGTGTGTATGTTGTTTAAAATCAAGACCCTGTTTGTGATGGATTGGTTGTTCGAACCGAAGAATTGAATGCTCACCGACTGCCGTTTAGTAGTTCTTTCACCACATACTATGCTGAAGTCGTCAGCTAACATTAACACGCGTATGAGATGCGAACTATATTAATTCATCTAAATCAATAAACTAATTGTTCGTGTCCAACGGTCAACATGTCTTGACATGTGCCAAGCCCTTTCCCCATATCCTTCATGGCAACTCTCCCTAGTCCAGTACAAGGTGATGACCTCTTCAACGGGCTCAAAGATTGGTGTTCTTCCCAGATATTCAGCAAGACTCTAAGTGGGCTTTGATGTAAGTCACATTTATCAAAGCGGCAGCCCAGGACCCAGCCGGGGTGACAATATATGTTAGCTCTCAATGATATTCTCTGATAGTTGATCTTAGAGTTGAAGTACTTTGTCTCGGGTCATTTCCAGATTTCCTATAGTGCTGGAGAAGTTGCGCAATAAAATCCTCGGATATAGTACTAGGTAGGTAGTAGCATCCGCGGGTTTGAACAGTTGAACCGTGGAACCTGCTGTGGATTTATGCCTCAGGCGACAACTACGTCACTGCATGCGATGGCCTTCCAAGAATCTCTCCAAATTCTTCTTGGAGTCTATCTTTAGTCTAGCATAATACATTTTTCTCTTGCTGAAACCCAGAATTTAGGTGTGATCATGTCGAGTATGTTGATTTTACTCTCTCTTACCGAAATCTAAATATACTAACTCTTGACCAGGCCCCGATTACTGTAAGACCTCCCCCAAAGGCCTAACGGAGACCGTTCCAACTAACACATACCAGACAAGACTCTAGGCATCGCCCAAGATGCCACCCAACAACAGATTCGCAATGCATATAAGAGGTGAGCGCATCACACTTACTTAGCCTTGGAGTTCCCCTCTAACAAAGTCTAGGGAATCACTGAAATCTCACCCCGATCGAGTCCCTGTCGACTCACCGGAGCGACCCTCACGCACACGAAAGTTCCAGGAAATCAACGACGCCTACTACACCCTATCAGACCCCGCGCGCCGCCGGGAATACGATGCTGCTCGCGCATACCAAGCAGCCGAGGAGGAAGCAGAAGCGGAAGTCCCACCAACCGGCGCCGGCGGTTTCTCCTGGTCCAGCTTTGGATTCGGTGGAAACCGCGATGACCGCGACAGCGACCAGTTCGGGTCCGTCTTTGAGGAGATGCTGCGCGAAGAGGGTCTTGCCGAGGAGAACGAGGGAGAAGGCGGGAGGCGGACTCGCCCAACCGGGAGATTCTGGGCACTTGTTGGCGGTGTCAGTGGTGGTGCTATGGGCTTCATTGTTGGCAATTTGCCTGGTGCGCTGGCGGGCGCTGTTGCGGGTAATCGGCTCGGCGCCATCCGCGATGCTAAGGGCAAAAGCGTCTATGAGGTTTTCTTGGACCTTCCAACGCCGGATCGGACGCGGCTCCTGAGTGAACTTGCGGCTAAGGTCTTCCAGTCCACTATGGGACGCTGAGTATATTTACTTTTGGCTTGCTGAGCGGTTTGGGCGTTGGGGATTTGGGAACTGGCTCTTACAGGCCTCGGTAGGAATTGGGTTGGGTTGGACATTCTGACTGTGCATGTCTACGTGGCTATGGATCACTTAGTACAGTAGGAAATACATATCTCAAGTATATAACAAGTAGTTAAGATAATTCTCGAGTGCACATGTTTAACTCGCTCTGATCTGATAGTTGACCCCTCAGTTTCTTATCGATAACAGCCAGTCACAAGAGTCTAGGTAGGTCTCGATGTCAATGCTCCACAACATAGCGTACTCCAGGATGATTGCAACGTATACAAGATTAATCTAGATCAATGATCCGAGTGAGTCACTAATCCAATAAACCTTTCCCTTAAAAAACGAGTCAGAAAAGACCAGGTGGCCTCCGCTTCTGGACCCAACGCCTCACGCTAAGCTCCCGCCTTCACTCACCGCTTGCGGTCAAAATGGGCCCCTCTCTCTATATTTACCCCCGAGTTGCCCGCAATTTTTTATCTTTGACAAATTCCATATTGAGACTCAATTGAATAAATCCTTCAAAATGACCGAAGCTGCCAGTGTTTACCCCTCGTTGGAGAACCGTCCCATCAAGAACACGGTTGTTCTGTTCGATGTTGATGAGACTCTCACCCCCGCGAGACGTGTAGGTTACAGTGCGACTCACTGCTATTCAGTTATACTAATATATTTCTCTTACAGCATGCCTCGCCGGAGATGCTCGAGTTGCTCTCTCGATTGCGCCACAAGTGCGCTATTGGATTCGTTCGTCTCCTCCCAATCAACACACCCACCCCGTTCCTAACACGATTCAGGTTGGCGGCTCGAACCTTGTGAAGCAGCAAGAGCAGCTTGGATCATCCACCATCGATGTTACCACGATGTTCGATTTCTGTTTCTCCGAAAACGGTCTGACCGCATTCCGCCTCGGCGAGTCGCTTGCCAGCAACAACTTCATTCAGTGGCTTGGGGAGGACAAGTACCAAGCGCTAGTGGATTTCGTTCTCAAGTTTATTGCCAACACCAAGTTGCCCCGCAAGCGCGGTACTTTTGTTGAGTTCCGCAATGGAATGATCAACATTAGCCCCGTTGGACGTGCTGCTAGCATCGAGGAGCGTGATGAGTTCGAAGCGTACGTGTTGATCTTGGGTTCACTATGTCGAGGTGATTATGGACACAAAATGGACTGGCTGACTGACCTGCACTATAGTTATGACAAGATCCACAATATTAGAAAAACCCTGGTGGAGTCCTTGAAGAAGGAGTTCCCCGACTACGGTCTCACGTAAGTCTTTGTTTACCGAGGTTTGTGTCTGATATGGTACTAATCAATCCGCCAACACAGCTACTCTATCGGTGGTCAGATCTCTTTCGATGTCTTCCCCACCGGCTGGGACAAGACCTACTGCCTACAGCACATCGAAGCTGAGAAGGGCATCTCGGGTATCGACTACAAGACCATCCACTTCTTCGGCGACAAGACTTTCGTCGGAGGAAATGATTATGAGATCTACGAAGACCCTCGCACCATTGGACACTCCGTTGATGGCCCTCAAGATACCATCAACCAGCTGAAGGAGCTGTTTGACTTATAGATAGATACGAGGTTGGATTGAATGTCAAGAAGCCGAAAGGGCATGGATTTGTGATAGCGTTTACATGCGAAGTCTAATTTTGATATTTCTGAAAACGGACTTAGTCAAAGATCGATCCAAATAGTCCTCTAATTGCATGAAATGAGAATACACCCAACTCTACAATACTCCGTAGTATAGTTACTAGGCAATGCGGGTAATGTGGGCACCGCCGGGAAACTGAAAGTGTCCACGGGTCGATCTTTCCGATCCCCTTTAGTCATCCCGATCATTTCAGGCCCCGGAATATTCCAAGCTTTCCTTTCCTGCGTCACTCTTGATCGGTTTGAAACGCACTTATTGAATAAATTATTTCTTTGCCCGCTGTCCTTGACATGGCGCCTCAAAAACATGTCGCGGATGTCCCGCGCAATATCCTTCCCCGCCTGACTTGGAACAGCTCCTCTTCGCGTCCATCCGTTACCATCACCCACCATCCCGCGCTTGCAACAAGTCAAAGACGACCACTCCCTCAAAACTGGAGTCCTTTAAAGCGACGATTCCACTCCCTGAGCACACCTCCCCAGTCTTCCCGGCTCATCTCCACATCATCCCGGGATGCTATCTCCGGATATCTTGTTTCCCGAGGAACCTCTATAACCACGCCGGCAACGTCGAACAAAACCCACCGCGGCAATCCGATCCGACATGATGGCGTCTATGTGGCTACCTATCATCCCGCTCGCCGCGCCTTTCACGCGACACCAGTCCGACCCCGCGATCATCACTTCGATACCCTGAAATTCGTGAAGCGCCTACAGGAGGAGGGCTTCAGCGAGGAGCAGTCCGTAGCAATGATGCGGGTATTGAACGATATCATTCAAGAGTCAATCCAGAATCTGACCAGGACAATGGTCCTCCGGGAAGGTATGTGAATGTGTCTTCTGCCACGCATCGTGTTTTATAATGCTTGTCGGAGATCTAACGGGAAACGCTTTGCTAGACTCGGAGCGATCAACTTATACACAAAAAGTGGACTTTGCCAAATTGCGCTCCGAACTACTCAACGCCGACTCGACTGAGGCACAATTGACCCGTTCAGAGCACGAGAAGATCTCAGCAGACCTCGCCAAACTCAACTCCCGACTGCGGGATGAGATTGGACGAACACAAGCCTCAGTCCGGTTGGATCTGAACCTTGAGAAGGGTCGGATTCGTGAGGAGGCAAATAGCCAAGAAATGCGTATCAAGGAGACTGAAACGCGAATTGAGCAGGAGGTTGCTGGATTAAGGGAACGAGTGGAGGCTGTCAAGTTCTCGACGTTGCAGTGGCTCATGTATGATCCCCGAAGTATCTCGACGCGCGAGCTTATGCTGACTTTTTTTTCTCTCCAGGGGTGTCTGTACCGGTACTGCGGCCCTTATTCTTGGTGCCTGGCGCTTGTTTATGTGAATTGGGACAAAAGTCTGCATTGGATATGGAGTGATTGTTTTTTTTGGCTTTACATAAGACATTTGTCTTACAACTTCCCTTTCTCTTTGTACACTATACTCTCTACTCGTCTAGCCGTGCTATGTTTCTATATACGTTTAGACAATACCAAGCATATCTTGGTCAATATCAATGGAAACCATTGCATATTCAGTGTACAATAGCCTGAGGGGGTTACATAGGGCTTGCGTCGGACTTCCGCCGCACCTTCCCCTCTTTATGCACCTTCCAAGGTTATCTTCAGGGGTAAGTCTAGAAGATCGCCTCATATTACGCTTGTATTATCCTATTGCATGGCTGGAAGAGCCGTTTCCAAGGTTACATGGCCTTTCACCACCCGTCTTGGATAAAATCCAATATCCTAACTGGTCCACATGGGCAAAGCTAACATGCTAGTTCCTCCAAGGCACTTGTCTCAACTACTAACGGATCCGCAATCCTCCATGGGGTATTGTTTTACCCGACTAGCTGCATGGGTGTTATCTATTCTTCTTCTTTGGCTCGTGGCCACGTTTTGCAATGTTTTTAAATCGCATCGTAGGTCTCGGGATCGATCTTCAGTGTCGGTGCTCAGTCAAGAACCACTGAAGCCCCAAGACAGTTACACAGCTGCGAACACTGTTTGGTCTATTGATCATTGCGATTTGAAATTAAAGGTGAATGACACCCGCAGTAAACTGAGAAGATTCAATCCAAGCTTCAGACTGCTAGCGATTATGGGTCTGTTCGCCATATGGGGGTTGTTGCTTTTGTGGCACCTCCCATCGGCTTCCTCGCTTCAGAGCGGGTTGCAGTCTATTGCTGGCTTTTCATCCCAGGCGTCTAGCTCAACTAGTTTGCAAGAGTTTTTCCAGCTCTATCAGCCAATATCGCTCGATTCCAGTGGAAACGACAACTGCGATGTCGAGATATTGCTCATGGATCATGTTTTTGGCGTCAGTTATGGAGCGCCATTTGTTGGTAAGAGGTCTCGAAAGTTACTCCTACTTGTGGTCTAATCTTACAACTTATCTAGGCGACTATCAGCCCCCAAAATGCGACTTCGATACTGTACGAATCAATCTCACAGTCACCTCTCGGGGAAAGCAGTTTGATCGCCTGGCACTAATGTACCTTGGAGACAATGAAGTGTTCCGGACTTCAACTGCAGAGCCGACAACCAATGGGATTGTCTGGACTTATGTCAAAGAAATGTCGCAGTATAACTCGCTATGGAAGAATCCCCAAAAGCTGATATTTGACTTGGGAAATATCATTAACGATGTTTACACCGGCTCGTTCAACGCTACGCTTACAGCGCACTTCTCTGAGGAGCAAAATGTCAAGACGGCGGATATAATTCTTCCAATCTCTGCCAAAAAGTCAGCATCAAACTCTTCAAGTGCCTTCCAACTTCCCAGAGATAACACAACAGTCATGTACGAGATCCCCGCTGCGGCATCGCGTGCTGTTGTGTCAATATCGGCATGTGGACAATCAGAAGAAGAGTTCTGGTGGTCCAATGTTTTCTCTGAGGATACCCGAGACTTTGAAAGCACTGTGGGTGCGCTATATGGGTACACTCCCTTTCGTGAAGTTCAGCTCTATATCGATGGGATCCTTGCCGGGCTTGTCTGGCCATTTCCTATTATCTTCACGGGAGGCGTGGCTCCGGGATTCTGGCGTCCGGTTGTCGGGACTGATGCATTCGATCTTCGACAGCCGGAGGTTGATATTTCCCCATTTCTTCCCATGATTCAAGACGGGAAGCAACATTCGTTTGAGATCCGGGTGACTGGTCTTAATGTCTCGGCAGATGGGACCACATTTTCAAACACTGTGGGCTCATATTGGGTTGTCACAGGAAATATTTTCATATATATCGACGACAACAGCTCAGCCTCTAAAGCCACTGTCACTAGTTATAACAACCGGCCCACCCTGGATGCTCCCTTGCCAGTGTTTGCTGTGACTCGGAATCTTATCCACAATGATGCTGGGGGAAACGATTCTTTGTCATATTCTGTGGTTGTCGAGCGGGTTTTCAGTGCAAAATCTTCTGTGTACTCCTGGTCTCAGACACTATCCTTCTCCAACCACGGTCTCCTCAACCAGCAAGGATACAGTCAAGTTAACAGACAACTCATAACTGGTAATAACACTATCACCGAGCTCGGAGATACACCCATCTCAAACAGCATTGCATTCCAATATCCCTTGGTTGTCAATGCAACTTACGGCATCACGTCGAATGGGACGACAATTGACTCTTGGATGAAGAGAGGTCTCGATTTTGAGGCAACAGGAGGGCTCGGTATTTCCACTTACACCTTGACCTCGGGGCCATCATACCTACACACAAGTCAGTCTGGCACGGCGCAGTATAAATCCGTTACTGGTGGAAGCTCAACCTCTTGGGGCGACACCACCAATGTTTTCGACAGTCAGAGTAATGGGCGATCATACCATCGATCTGTTCATGCAATCAATGGTACCGTTGTAGATGACACTCATCCTGAAGGCAAGACCTCAGCGTCTTCGCCACAAGATCATGGGGATACTGGGAGAGATAGTGTGAGAGCTATAATTGGAAAAGGACCTGGAGCTCTTATAAACTAGGAAGAATGACATAATATGAAGCGTCCCGGATGTCAAGGTTACAAGGTAGACGGTCACCCGTTTGGGATACGGAGGTAGGATACAACACGGTATGGCAGAGGAGCATGAGTAGTGACTTATAATGGTCTCGCAGTCTCGCAGGAGATCCAAGAAATCATTTCGCACAAATAAGAACAAGTTGGGGATGAGACAAGGTCGTAGATAGTCATTTACCTTTGTTTCGGTATCTCAGTCTCATTTGACATTGAGAAGAAAAAGCTTCCGAACTGCTCATCCTTGTTACCTTGTTACCCCAACAGGTTTGAATCCTTAATTTGCTTCTTCACATATTTTACTGTCCCCTACTCGTCACCTTCGCGTCAAAGCTCCCTTCGACGCGCCCTTGCAATGGAACTTGCTTCTTGGAGCGTTGAGGGTACTGATCGGTTTGTCCACCGACTAGGGGAGTAAGTTCTTGGGTTTACACACTGTGTGAACAAGAGAACTGACCAGAGATAGCCTTTACCCCACAGGCATCTTCTTCGACCTCACAATTCATACCACGGACCAAGCCTTGAAGGTACACAGACTGGTAGTCTGCAGCCGATCTGAGGTTTTCTGTCGGTTCTTCTCTGATGCTCCTATTGTAAGTCTCCCCGTGCCCAAGCCCTTTATTATCCACAGGCTTGGCTGACTTTGACGATTACAGGAAAGCGAACAAGCTCGTGTATTCGAAATAAAGGACGAGCATCCACGCATCGTGGAAGCCATGATACGCTCGTTCTACGGACTACATTACGACATCAGCCAATCCGAGCATAAAATGTGTCCCATGTTATTCAATGTCAAAGTATACGCAATTGCCGACAAATTCGAGGTGGATTATCTCAAAGTCCAAACAAAATTAACCTTCGTCACCCTCGCCCAAGACCACTGGAACTCGGACGAATTCTTGACGGCTGCTTTTGAAGCATATAAAACGACGCCAAAGTCGGATCGAGGTCTTCGGGATGTGGTCGTCGCGGTTTGTCAAAAGTACATGAAGGAGCTGCGTGAGAAGAAGGCATTCGAGAAACTGATTGAAGAAACTCCCGGGCTTGCTACCGATCTTGTGCTGCTTTCGCACATGTGGTTGCCTCAGTCTGCGTCTACGAGAGTTCGTCTTGTTCAGTCTTTCTCTTGTCTGTCTTGTTTTGCGAGATGGCAGATCCAGGTCGGGTTGGCAGAGTACTTTACTGCATGTCCGTTTTGCCATGATGATAAGGTTGGGCCTTTTTGAGGTCTTTCTTGCTGTGGTTTGGGAGATTATCTCTCTCTTGGAGATATTATGGTTCTTTTGTGATGTTAGTAGGAGACTTTAACACAAAACAGAGACATGTTTGGGTATCTCCATGTTATGAATACACAGATTTTGTTGGAGACTGCGGAAACTTGATACTCTACTGGATGACCTAGGTAGTTAGTATATTCTCTGATATCCTTCTTGAAAATTCTGCTACGTAGAAATTAGATGTCTCCCGGAAGATCCGAATCATATATGTATATAAGGCCGACCATCCTAATCAACACCTTCTTCAAACACAATAGCAGGCCTTGAATCCAGCCTCTACCTCCCACGCATAGAACAGCCAGATCTGCTAAAGACTGTTAAGCACTGTGGTAGCACTAGCCAATTCATTCCTGGAACTTAACGAACCCCTCCTCCACGGCTTTAACAATTTTTAAACAGGGCCGTCTATGAAAGGTATGTGCTGTTGCGGGCATGTAATGTTGGACGGTGGGACTATGCCTTGAAGGTATGCCTGAACATATCCAAAGTAACAGTTTGACGCCCCCTGGTCGATGACTGTATGCTGCATTCAATAGAAACATCCCACGAGTAAGCCTAGACTCTTATTTGAGATTGTTGTGTGATTGAGATTTGATAACAACTTACACCAACGGCTTCTTGCAATAGAAGTACCGATCCGGCAAAGCGAGATGACATCTTGCGCGCGCTGCGAAGAGGAAAAGTCAATCAGTAACATACCAGACGGCGGGAAAATTTGGCCGCAACGTACGATGTTAAGGGCGTTATAGGGTCGATGGTATTACTCGCAAACAGGATCGGGAAGGACGTAGGCCTGTCTATTGCACTTATTGGGCCTGGATAAAGAAGAAACTGGTTAGATTTTGCTTCCAATGCAGACGTTTATTTTTCCGAAGAGGAAGTTTAAAGAATGCGGAAAAAGAGAGAGAGAGAGAGAGACAAAAAGAGGATTGCCTACCTTGAACCACCATGCTATCAGGCAATTGCGGTCGGAATGATCTACACAAGATATTTTCCAAGTAGATAGGGTAGATATCACCGATATACTTGCTCTTGGAAATCGTGTACTCGACGTAACTCTTGAATTCTTCAATGGTAGTAAGCCTGTTTCTCCGATACGAATCGGCACACTGGATGGCGAGACGGGCATCGGATGTAGAATTTAACCCGTCAAACATGCCCGCAAGAGCAGACACGTCCCCACGCTCGATCTGGTGTAGGATGTCGGCCATGACTGGGAATTTTGCCAGTGGGGCGTAGATAGTATTGAGAAAAAGAGCCTTCAGGTCTGAATAGGTGACCAGTGTCGGCAGGTCTCGACTTTGGACCCCGCTTACCGGGACCGGATGGTTCTGAAGCTGATGGATGATGCCGTCCATTCTGGCCGTGATGTCAGTTGGCGTGGGTCCCCAGAAGGAACACTTTTCAGGACCTGCGGAATGGCAGAAGCTCGAGAATTTTCTCATGGCCTCGTCCATTTGATCGACGTTGTCCCTCCAGTCATTGTTATAATATTGCTCTGCGTTCACAACACCATCGAGTATCATTCTCTCAACTCGGTCAGGAAACATGGAAGCGAAAGTGCTGCCGATGACATTGCCGTAACTGATGCCATAGCACCACAATTTGGCGTCTGGTGGTGACTGACCGGCCATCTCGGCCTCGGCTTCTATAAATGTGAGCAAATCATGGGCGACCGCCGGTGTAGTCACATAATATCCATGAGGTGAATCATTCTTGACAGCATCATTGCACCACTCTCCGTAGATAGAGCTTGAATAGTACTGTTCCTCAAGCGATGTTGATGAGACGTTGGTAGCGCCTGTACTGTGCAGTCGACTGAAGGCCAATCTTGCTTCTGCATTCCCCGAGAAGCAGTCGAGGCTCGAATCGCTGTTGTTCACACCGCGAGGGTCAAAGGAGACGAAGTTGTACTGCTCTCCGAAGATTTGCCCTACGAGGGCCTGGTATGTGAGGAGGAGGTCGACACCAGAACCACCCGGACCGCCTAACGAAGTGTCAGTCCAGTCACATGGGTTTCAGATAACTTTTTATGATTGATCTGATCGAGATCTTACCAGGGATGAGTACAATGCTTGGGGACTCAACGGTGGCATTCTTGCCAGCCAGTTTTATGAAGGCGATTGACGTTGTGCCAAGACTTCTGTTTGAATAATCCAAAGGAACTTCCAGTCTAGAGCATGTAAAGTCATCGAAACATGGTGTCCACGTGAGGTTGGCTGATGGTTCAATCTAGATAGCTAGTCAGAAAGCTTGAAAGCCTTAGAGGATATGGTTCAGCAAAGTCCAAGACTTACATTGTCAAATCCATAGGCCATGCCCGGATCATGCCAGCGATCAGCTTTGCATCCCAAGCTCATGAAAAGAATGAGGGAATTCACAAGTCGTTTCATTGTTACTCCCAGAAGGTTTCCCATTGAGCTTTCTGTTATGTTGCTTGCAAAAAAAAAGTGGTGATATGTATCATTGCAGCTGGCATAATTGCGATACCAGGGAGCTATTTATACCAGTTGAATTTCCTAAGAGACTTGTCAATCAAGATTATCGGTTTCAATTGCTCAGCTCCTTAGGCTGCCGCATTCTTCCTATCAACTCACAATAGCTATTGCGCACACTCTCTTAGCCCTCCGTTTGTACGAACCAGCCAATCAATATATATTTTACTACCACCAGGTTTAACTACAGAGGATGCGGGCATAATCTGACCCCTATTAATGTATTTGTGGGTCTAAGGCTTTAATTTATCTGCTGAATCTCCAGTGAGATTAAGGCTCTGAAGACACTGTCCACGGGTCTTCATACGGAGTAGATATTAGCATAATCTAGAGACCCACAAAGAGGTGCCTAGAACCTTGGAAGCTCTCCTTTCTTGGCGCCCCGCCTGTACGAACTAACCAATCAAAACCTGTCATATGCACTAGTCACTACCTAGGTATCACCTGAGGATTTATAACCTTGGAATGATTGATTCATCTTTGAGCTACATATGTAGTCTTTCTCCAAGCTCCTTTTTTTGTACTTTCCTTTCTCATTCAAGTGTGCATCGCAAAGGGTGTGATGACTTCCCCGCTGGCATACCTGGCATACGAACGGACGAATAGACGATCTTCTTGAAATTCGATCGGTACCCCATATAATTCGCATTTCAACGCCAATGCTGTGTGCAACTTGCAAATCTTGGCCAGCTAACATCAACATGATGGACGAGATCAAGAACGAGAACACCAAGACGGCCAATCAAGCTTGGAGAAGAAAACCTCGCAAATTCGCCCCAAAGTCAAGACTAGGCTGTAAGACTTGCAAGTGAGACTTGACTCCGTGTATTGCTACAAAGCGATCAATTATGTTCAAAGACTCAAAAACTGACAATCAGCATCGGTGCACGTCTCAGGATAAGACGAGTAAAATGCGATCTATCTCGGCCTTTATGCTTGAAATGCCATTCCACAGGTCGAACCTGTGACGGCTATAGTGAAATGCCCCTCGCTTGCAAGACCGAGAAGACCGAAATTGAACCAAGTCATTATCACAACGAGAAGGCCGACAGAGCAGAGAGCTGCGACATTTACCACCCTTGCACCGCGATCAGTGCATGTCAGCCAAAACAATGGCGCGCGAAATACCATGGCCTCACTTTACAAAATCTCGGACCCTTTATGATCCTACCAGTGACTGGGTCAACCCAGGCAGAGGCAATGTGTTTTTTCGAGTATATTTCGATCAAGCATCTGAATGAATACCACCCCTGCGAATCATGGCGGAAGACTCTTATATTCTTCTCCCAAACAGTGCCATCGGTGCGGTATGCCGCCATTGCTCTGGCCTTAATTCACCGAAACTACCTAGATCGCGATTCTAGCGATCGTGTGCATCAACCGCAATCCTTGAAAGACTGGCTACCGGATAAGGCTCCCTTGCTCCACTATAATCGGGCCATTCAACTTCTTCTGAATCAGGAAAGTGGTGACAGCACCGAAATAACAGCCGTCACCCTTTTGGTCTGCTATCTCTTCACCTGCTTTGATCACCTGGCGGGCAACTACGTACAAGCAGTGAAGCACCTGCGTGGAGGTGTGGAGCTCTCACGCAACATCGACAAGGCTATACTGAACAACAACAGTACTTACGACAATGCCAAACCCTCAGGGGTTCGCACCCTTATCTGCCAGGTCACAAGACAGATCCGCCGTCTCGACATGCAAGCCGTAATGTTTCTGGTCGACTGGACTCCAGCCGACATCCAAGAGACATTTATGTCCCAGTTTCCACTCTCCGGCGGTACCTTTCGGTCTCTCGACCAAGCCGCCGACCACCTCCAGATCCTCGTCGCTCGAGTAATGAGACTGCGCAACACGGAGCAGCAAATGTCCCCGATGGGTAATATGCCGCCGTTACCTTCGTCACTCAAGGATATCGTTCTCCGGCAGTTGGAAACGTGGTCGAATCTCTTCGAAAACATACTGCAACAAGGCAGCTCCTATGAGACAGATTCTGAAACTTACCCGCTCATATCACTGCTGCGCCTACAACATACTATCGCACGGATTCTCCTCAGTAGTTACGGACCTGGCAGGGAAATGGACTATGACGACTTCCTGCCCCAGTTCCAGCAATGCGTGGCCTTGGCGGGCGACGTAGCGGCAGCGCATGAGCGGTATTCGGGGTCGTTAAAGCCGACTTTTACACCGGAGATCGGAATTGTCCCCGTGCTTTACATAATCGGGGTCAAATGCCGGCATCCCATGGTCCGACGCGAGGTCTTGAGTATCTTGCGACGGCAACCGATACGGGAGGCGGTTTGGGATAGCATCTATGCTGCCAGGGTGGTTGAGCGGGTAATTGAGATTGAAGAGGGTGGGTCTGGGGAGGGACAAATGACACAGAGCATGGAACAAATTGCTGTGTGGCAGAGGGTCGAGGCTATGTCTTGGGTACATGTCGTCAGTGGA